CTGATTTTCTGTTTAGATGATCTGTCCATAGCTGTCAATGAGGTATTTAGGTCCCCTAAAATAATTGTGTGCTTTTGTCAGTTTTTCCCTTTAGGCCTATTAATAGTTGTTTTATATATCATGGTGCTTATATTTTGATGTGTTATGTCTACTTGATTTATTGTCCCCTTTATAATGATAAAATGTCCATCTTTGTCTTCCATTACTGTTTTTGAAATTTATTTTGTCAGATATAAGTATGGCTACACTGCTTTTCTCTGGGTACCACTTGCTGGGAAATCATTTTCCACCTTTACCTTGAGTCTGTATTTTTCCTTGCAGCTGCAATGTCTCTTGAAGGCAGCATATGGTTGGGTTTTGTTTTTTTATCTAATCTGCTACTCTGTGCCTTTTTATTGGTGAGTTTAGTTCATTTACATTTAGGGTGATTATTGATACATGAAGATTTTCTATAGGCATTTTATCTTTTGTTTTCTGGTAGCTATGTGTCTTCATTATTTCTTTTTCCTTTCTGTCTATTGTTTTAGTTTGGTGGTTTTCCATGATTTTTTTCCCTTTGTTTCTTCTTTTTTTAATGTTATGTGTCTCAGTTATGGGTTTTTTTTGTTTTTGTTTTTTGTGGTTACCATTAGGCTTATGCAAAAGAAAGTTTCATATATACAGTAGTTTTTTTCTTCTGAATACATCTTATCAAGGCAGTTTTTTCAGACTAAAATCTTTGTTCTCCTCAGACCTCTTTATACTTACTGATTGAATGAGAAAAACAAGGAATCATGTGATACTTCTGTAAACTACTTTTCAGTTTTACAATTTACTTTTTCCTTTATTTTCATATTCATTATTTTGCTGACTTATAGTCCATAAAAGTAGATAGGTTGGGTAAGAAACCAAAAGCACATGCAACAATGGAAAACAAACAAGTGGGACTACATTAATCTAAAGAGCTTCTGTACAACAAAGAAAACAGTAAAAGGCAACTTACAGAATGAGAGAAAATGTTTATAATATATAAAATCTATATAGTATATATACATGTTTACAAAACAACATATCTGATAAGAGGTTAATATCCAAAATATATAAACAACTTATATAACTCAATAACAAAGAAACAATTAATCCAGTAAAAATGGGCCAAGGACAAGAAAAGAAAGGTCTTGTAGCTGTGTATGGTGACAGGTGTTAATTAAACTTACTGTGGTGGTCAGTTTGCAATGTATACAAATACCAAATTGTTATGTTGTATACCCAAAACTAATATGTTTTATTCAATTATACTTCAGTTATAAAAACACAATAGGCAGGAGTTGCTAAACATAATTTTAGAAAATATTATTGGAAATTTTCCAATAATTTTTAGGTAGAAGACACTAGAAGTGTCCACACTAATTCTCAGAGCTATACAATTTAACCGGACTGTCAGAGCTATACGATTTAACCAGACTGATATTTTAAGCTGTAAATCATTGTTTGTATTTAGAAATCTGATATCATCGGAAACAGGTGAAGTTTTGAACGCTTCACAGTCTACCAACCCCTAGTGAAAGGTTAATCACAAGTAACAGATAGACCAGTATAGCTAATCCTCATTACAGTGCCATTATGAAACACTGGAAAATCACCAAAATACAATAAAAAAACATAAATGTCAGTTTTATGATCTCTTTTCTCTCTCAATCTGTTACAGTAGTTTCTTATCAGTAGTGAAGTATATAAATGTCTACAAATTATAAACTTGTAAATGTTGACCATGCAGTTGATTTGGTTCCCTGGCCCTTAGCCAACCCAGTGCTGGCATATCCTGCACAGGTGCACTGCTGAACGACAGGTGAGGGGCATTGCACTGAGAAAGAAGGGGTGGACAGCGCATTCATGCCTGTAGCATGGTTTAAGTATGATCAGGAACCCAGACTGCACATATGAGAAAAGGACCAGAGACTATGGAGGAAAGTATAAACAACGTATATACATTCAAAAAATGCATAAATGATGAAAGAAAACAAATAAGTGTTTAGAATTAGGGGGGAAAGTGGGCAAAAGACCTGAATAGATATTTTTCCAAAGAAGACATATGGATGGGAAAGATGCCCAACATCGCTATCAGGGAAATAAAAATGAAAACCACAATGAGATGTCACCACGCACCTGATAGGATGGCCATTATTAAAAACACACGAGATATAACAAGTGTTAGCTAGGATGTGGAGAAAAGGGAACCCTTGTGCACTATTGGTGGGAATGTAAAATGGTGCAACCACTATGGGAAACAGTATGGAGGTTCCTCGAAATGTTAAAGGTAGAACTATCATATGACCCAGGAATTCCATTCCTGAGTATATAGCCAAAGATATTGAAATCAGTATCTTTAAGATGTATCTGCACACCTGTGTTTATTGCAACATTATTCACAATAGCCAAGGCATGAGGAAAAAATCTGAATGTCTATCAATGGATGAAGGATAAAGAAGATGTGGTGTGTGTGTGTGTGTGTGTGTGTGTGTGTGCGCGCGCGCGTGTGTGTGTAAATACAATGGAATGTTATTCATCTGTGAGAAAGAAGGAAATCCTGCCATTTGTAACAACATGGATAGATCTTTAGGACATTATGCTAAGTCAGTCAGTCAGATAAGGACAAATACTGTGTTATATCACTTATATGCAGACTGTGAAAAAGTGAAACTTGTAAAAAGAGTAGAATGGCAGTTACTGGGGCTGGGAGAGAGGTTGAGGAATTGGGGAGATGTTCTTTAAGGATATAAACTTGCAGCTGGTAGATAAGTTCTGGGGATCTAATGCATGGCATAGTGATGATAGTCAACAATACTGTATTAAAAACATCAAAATTGGTAGGAAGATAGATCTTAATTCTCACCACAAAAAAAGAAATGATAATTAAGTAACAATAGGGCGTAATCATATTGCAATATGTAAATGTATCAAACCTTAAACTTACACAATGTTACATGTCAGTTATATCTCACTAAAAATTAACAAAACAAAAAAGTAGCTGTAGAAGTTTTATTATCCCCATTTAACAAATGAAGCAACTGAGAGATAGAGCTAATCTCCATGTTATCAGCTAGTGAGTCACACAGCTAGGACTGAGTTCCCAGAAGGCAGGGACCTTTCTCATCATCTTTTCAGCCAGTGTGTAAAACAATGTCTGGCACAGGGGAAACACTCAGAAAATGTTACTGAATATAACTCAAATATGGGACCTCTAACATCAGACTTGAGTCTGAGCAATCCCATGATTCCATTCATCAAACACTAATAAACACAAGGTGAGAAGCATTGGTTAACTTCTTGTTTAGTAGTTACTGAGCCCAACAAGTTCCATAGCCTCGTCTGGGCATTTCTGATGCTGAGTAGAAACTCCTCCAGGGTAGGAGCTGGCTGCTCATGCAGCTGTTAGCTCACATGGCAGACTGCACAGGGTGACTCAACTCTCGGCTAAAGGAGGGCTTGCAAATTGATTCTTGAAAGAGGTTTGAAAGCAAATGAAGAACTTGGAAGGAGTGGCTTCTGAGAAGATGCTTCCAAAAAAGGACAGAAAATGAAGGCTTTGCTCTCTCACTCTCCACCGCATTGCAGGCTCAGGATAGCTCACATCTTGGTACCATTGGTAAACATCTAAAAAATCAGAGGCTGAGGCTAAGGAAGTCGTATTTTAAAATAAGTTATTAATAAAACACTTAAGAGGAAAACAGCAACCACTACCAGATTATGGGTCTTTACCACAGAAACCGCCAGTCATGGTTTAGAGAGCAATGGAGGGTGAAAAAATGTTAATACCCTTACTTTAAAGGGTGTGTATCTATTTCATTTGGAATTTCCTGTTCTAAATGCAGGGTTACTCTTTCTTAAACAAAAATGAATAGTGTTTTTTTTTGTTTGTTTGTTTTTTCCTGAGTCAGAACATTATATTTTTTGAAATTTGTCAATTCATAAGTTACTAGTTGCCACTCATTTTCAGAATTATGGGTTATTTCTAAGTCTTACATCACTTTGGAGTATATAGTCAAATCTCAGTTATTCAAAATTTAACAAAACAAAACTCATATAACTGGCAAACTCTATTCAGCTTAAAACAATCAGTGTTAAGGTTATGGCAAACATCTTTTCAAAGTATAATCTTAGGCATGTTTTAGAGGATGAACATCTCACTTCAATTGTATATATTCTAAGCATTTACAGTATTACATGATGATAAACTAATAATTGTCTGCATCAGAGTTTCTAAAAATGTAGTATTTGAACCACCTGCATAATTTAAAATGTGGTTCGCTGGACCCAGCCCATCAGAGTCCACGGTGAGGGTCCTAAAATCTCCTGAAAGTTACTTCCAGCAATTCTTTTTGCACATTGAAGTTGGAGAACCACTAGTCTAGAAAGACTCTGATGGTTTTCTCAGTTATCAGAGAACAATAAAATTATACTGTATTTAGAATATTCTTCCTGAGGCGGATGGTGGATTAACACAACTCTACAAGTGAAAGCAAAATGGCTTTTCTTTTTAATCAAATTAATCATTACATTAAAACTTCACTTACTAGGCATCCCAGTTAATTGAGATTTACCGTGTGTAGCAATGTTAAGAGGTTGGCTAACTGGAAGAATGAATTTTCAGTAAACCAGCTGAGAACAGTGATAAGATAAGCTTCTTTGAGAGTACTCAGAGCAATGTCAAGGACTTTGGTAACTTCAATGTTCTTTTTCTAAATTCTTGTGAAGTTTTGTCTTTTTCTAAGATGTAGTGAAGAAGAAATATGTCAAAACACTACAACACAATTCGAGCATTTTGTTAACTTTGCTTCGTATCAAAAGACAATACTGTTTGCTCCTCCCCCTCTTGGCACTAAGTGCTTTGGGGTGTTTTATTCCTTAAATAAGTGCCATTCGGCGCCTGTGTAGATGAAGATGTCAACACAGCATGTCTCAGTTCTGTGTCTATTCCCTAAACATTTTGGATTTGACAAAACTGTCCCCCTTCTCTACAGGGCAGAGATGTAACCTTGACATTGATGAGTGCGCCTCTAATCCCTGTCGCAAGGGTGCCACATGCATCAATGACGTGAATGGCTTCCGCTGCATATGCCCCGAGGGGCCCCATCACCCCAGCTGCGTCTCGCAGGTGAACGAGTGCCTGAGCAACCCCTGCATCCACGGCAACTGTACCGGAGGCCTCAGTGGGTGAGGAGCGGCCGTGTAGTATTCCTTCCTTTTCTTTTCTTTTTAAATCCTCACCCAAGGATATTTTTTCCATTGAATTTTGGATAGAGCAGGAGGGAGGAAGGGAGAGAGAGAAGGAAGCATCAATGTGAGAGACACGTTGATTGATTGCATCCCGCACCACCCCAGCTGGGGCCAGGGATCAAACCTGCAACCAAGGTACGTGCCCTTGACTGGGAATTGAACCTGCGACTCTTTGGTCCATTGGCTGACACTCTAACCACTGAGCAAGACTGGCCAGGGCTATAGTAATCCTTTCTTACTGACCTGTGTCGAGCCAGTTGGGTTTAAGTTCTGGCCATACATGCAGACGGGACCTGAGCTGAGATCTGGCTGCAGAGTGTGGAGTCTGTATCAAGTCTTCCGGATCGCCTCTTCACTACCTCCCACGACCGAGCAGGTGGGCGGGACAGGGAGGAATCCAGGGTTGTGTTATAAGTCTTTGGAAGTTGTGCTTTTAATACTTATTGCACGATTGAGTTCTGAGGGATGTTCTCTCTGATTTTTTCCCACTTAAGCTCAGCCCCATCCTAGCACATTACCAGTGTGTGCCTCTAAAGTAGAGTAGGCCTCCGCTAACTCACGGTGTGGCCCTGATAAAATGTGCACGGTTTGCAGGCCCCAGAGAGTGATGTGATATGTCGTTAGGTAATTTTCTAGAATCACAGAGGGTGACATTAGGTCCCCTGAGATAGTCTGTATTCTTGCTGTGCTTGCCAGAGGACAGGGCCCTGGCCATGGCCATTGTCATACTTCTAACAGGTGAAAGAATGAAGTGTTTAGAGGAGAATGGGATATCAAGTCATTTCCAAGATGAATTTTCTTAGCATTCCTGCTTCAACGTTGGGCAGCCTTCAAAGCGTCCCACCCACCCACACTTTCCTAAGAACCTCCAGACAAGGAAGCCACATCTCCTGACACAGCATTCTAAGTGCTAATGATGTTCACATTGTGAACAATGTCCATATACTTCAAATACCTGTTTCTGCTCAGTACCCGAGGTGCTCTCTGGGGCAGGGTTTCCAATCTGAACAAAGCATATCTCAGAAATCAGACATTCCAAGAGCTCTTTGGAGTGGCCTAGAGTCTCTGATACTAATCTACTTCCTGGGTGTCTGTTTTGCCTCAGAAACAAATGGTCCTACGGTTTGCTTTACTTTCGTTTCATAAAAAAGAAAGAAAAAATGTAGATTTATCCATGATAATATGTCTTTCAGATTGGTCCAATATGTTGTACCAACCTTGCTCTTTGCATACAAAAGCTCAGTGTAATTAATTAATTTATCTAGCATCTTTGTGAATCAGGGAAGCACAAGGAAGGAAGGTCATTTTCCTCCACATGGCCCCATAGGATCCCCACCGTGTTCATGGTGATCCCCACATATAGGTCCCAAGAAGGGGAGAAATGAGATTAACTTATCTTCATCTTCTCTTTCTCTTATTTCTTCACCACGTCCTGTATTTGACTCAATTGTGTATTCATTTGCCATAGTAAAGAATTCTGTCTTCTTTCAGATACAAGTGCGTCTGTGATGCAGGCTGGGTTGGCGTCAACTGTGAAGTGGACAAAAATGAATGTCTTTCCAATCCATGCCAGAATGGAGGCACTTGTGACAATCTAGTGAATGGATACAGATGTACTTGCAAGAAGGGCTTTAAAGGTGAAGGCAAAGTGCACATTTCCATCTCCCTGCTCTGCCCCGTGTTGCTGCATACTGCTTGGGTCTCGTCTTTCTTTCCCTTCTTTCTGTTCATTCACACAGCAAACATAATTGGAGCACCTAATATCTATGAGGCACTTGGGGAATAAAAACATAAATAGATATAGATTCTACTTTCAGCATGGCAGAGAGGGGAGCTATCAGAAGAGGACTATTGAAGGTGAGCAGCTAGGACTCCAGTTACACAGCTTGGAACAGGTGTTCTAATTGTAAGCTTCTTGGTGCAGGTTTGATTCTGTGATCATTCAAACGAGATATTGGTAGTAGAATGAAAACATTGTCTCACTGTAATTTTGACAGCAGTAATATCATGGAAGGATTTGTGTGTTCAAAACCTTCTAGCAAATTCTCCCACATGGTGAGATATTCTTATTTTATTTTTTGTTAATCCTCACCCAAGGACATTTTTCCATTGATTTTTAGATAAAGTGGAAGGGAGGGACGGGGAGAGAGAAACAGCAATGTGAGAGAGACACATTGATTGGTTGCCTCCCATAGGACCCCAACCAGGGCTGGGATTGAACCTGCGACCCAGGTATGTGCTCTTGGCCAGGAATCAAACCCTCAACCCTTGAGTGCACAGGCCAATGCTCTAACCACTTAACCAAACCAGCCAGGGCTGGTGAGATATTCTTAGATACATAGTTCCCTGTGGCTTCCTGGAAAAATACATAAAAGGAGTGTACTGTGTAAAATTATGTTTTCAGTTGTCACTGTTGTATTTCTGCCATCAGTTTTCTCTTGGAAACTCATGAAAGAGAAGTGAGGGTAAATCATTGATATTTGAACTGCTCTATTCACTTAGTCATTTAATTTCCCACTCAAAAGTTGTTCCAGGCTACTGTGAATCATCAGTGTGTTTGGAGTCACTTTATTTGATTAATTGAAAATTTTCTGAAACCATATTTTCGTCATTAATTTACTGATATATTACATTACATTTGCAAAGAAACGTTTAGATTTAAAAGCACTCTTATGTTTTTATCTCACTGAGACTTGTTCACCAACGAACAAAATCAAAATGAACAGTCCATAGTTGTATGGCTGTTGAATAGCCCTCTGCACTCTCAGATCATCACTTTTTTACAGTGCTCTCGTTCCCTATTTCAAGCTCTGTACCAGGCCTCACTGAAGATGCAAAGGAGGGTAATAGTTGGGTTCTGTCCTGTCCCCATAAATGCTTATTTACTTTTCTCTTTTTTTTAGCGGGAGTAGACTTTATGTCTTGGGTCAGGGAAGACTGCTTTGGGACTTCAAGTACTGCCACAGGACTGCCTCTGAAAGAGGGGGCGTAACTCGCTTTGGTGAATGTATTCGGGGATGTAACCCCTTGATGGCGCACACCCCTTCTTAAGCTCTGCCCAGATACTTTGTATACAAAGAGCTTATATTTAGATACAGCAGCAAATTTTTGGCCTTAATGAACTTCTTGGTTCATTATTGAGAAATTACTTGTGCTGTATTTGGGGGTGCATTAGACTTTCAGGATATTAGAACATACTGTTCCTCCATTAGTATTTTAGCCAATTAAGCGCTGTTTTTTTTACTGGCGTACTGTATGTCAAGGACTTGTCGCTGAGATGAATGAGCAGGTGTTTCATGTTTACCACTAAGAGGATTGCTCAGCAATTCAGGTAATGAGGAGGCTGACAGAAACTCACTGCCTTTGGTTTTTCCCCTTTTCTGTCTTCAGGCTTTAACTGTCAAGTGAATATCAACGAATGTGCTTCAAATCCATGCCTGAACCAAGGAACCTGCTTTGATGACATAAGTGGCTACATTTGCCGCTGTGTGCTGCCGTACACAGGTGAGCCCCACAGGTGCAGGGACAAAGGGGATGCTCGGTCTCCTTGTCCTTCCACACCTCTGAGTCTCAGAGAGGGGATCTGTGGGGCCCTGGGGCTGCTCTGGGGAGACCCCCGGTAGCCTGTCCTGCCCTCACTGCCTGGATCTTGAGAAAACAGTGTGTGACCTCCTTAGATGCAAGTGCTGGGAAGACTCATTTGCCTTCTTTGCTCCTTTGCTTTTCATTATGTATGGTTGGAACTGATGCATACCTGATGATTTAGTCCGTTACTGTGAACGGACCAGTGTCTCCATGGCCCATGCTCAGCCTTAGTTTCAGTGACAAGGCTGCCACATTGCTAATTTACTGTGTGCCAGACATTTTATATACTTTGGATTATTTACTCTAGTGCTCACAGTAATTCAACAAATAGAAGTTCCTATCACCATTTTACACCTGAAGAAGCTGTGGCACAGAGAGGTTACTTGCTGAGGGTTACAGAGGTAGGTGGTAGACCTAGGATTCACCCACAGGTCTCTGAACCCAGAGCTGGTCCTGAACTGCTGTTCTTCTCCTCACATTCAGCACAACTGCGTCTCATTCAGAGAGGTGTTGCCCCTGGATGGCGATCACACACGGGAGACATGGGCGTGACTTCATTTTATGCCAGGTGTTCTTTGTTTCAGGCAGTATTTTAGGTGTGTGCCTGGACATTTCTGCTTTGTGTTCTCCTGCCTCGTTACTGCCATCTTGTGATTGGTTGTATTTGTGTGGCTTGTTGACCTCCTCGTCATCCCATTTTCTTCATCTCTGGGAAACAAAACAAGACACATGGATGATGGCTTTGCATGATCCTCCAGTGTGCAGCATGCAGGCAGGAGTGTGCCTGGACCCTCACTACCTTGGAGTCTTGAGCTATTCATAGCTGTCACTAGTGACACTGAGCAGTATAGAGTGGCACGTGGCCTCAAGCATGACTCCGTGACCCGAAAGACTTGATGCTACATTGTTCCCTATGCGGGACTGTAGAAGAAATGTTCATGTAGGGAAATGGCATTTAGCCAGCCTGGGGAATAAAATCAAAGTTATCAGAGATCCCTAGCTATCCCCAGTCAAAGACAGTCTGCGCCATATCATTTTATAGTGACAATGCCATTTTTGTTGGCTATGAGAAGATCATGTCACTTGCTGCCATAAAGACTAAGAATTGATGGCTACGGGACATGTAAGCAGATGTCACTCTGCTCAGCCACGTTATAGTCTTATATATACAGTTCATCTGGAAATTACTTATTTTGTCTTCTTGCTATTCAGATACTATAAAACTATTTGACTATATGCAAATGTCAATCAAGTCAGAGCCAAGACTCAAAGGACCATAGGTCTCTCAGATTGCAAAGCTTTAGACTTGCATTCAGAGAGCATCCTTTGATATAGTATTTGGGGAAATTTACGTTTCCCTGGCTAATTTTCTGTCCTAAACTCTGTCATTTGCTTTGCAGGCAAGAACTGTCAGACTGTATTGGCTCCCTGTTCCCCAAATCCTTGTGAGAATGCTGCTGTTTGCAAAGAGGCACAAAACTTTGAGAGTTACACCTGCCTGTGTGCTCCTGGCTGGCAAGGTAACTACATGGGAGTGGAGAAACCAGAAGTTTTCAAAAAAGTGGTCAGATCAGCAGAATATATGGAAGGCTCTGGTCTTTGTGCAGGAGCTAACTGGAATGAATTAGAAAGCCTTTCCATTTGCGTGTCTATGGGGTCCCCTAGTGGCTGGAAGACTCCAACCTGAGTCAAACCATGATGTCCTGCAGGAAATTTTGGCACCTGTGCAGCAACTTGCCAGGGGCACAGAAGCCTTAAGGGACTTCCCAAAGCAGGAGACTAACCAGAGTACCCTTGGAGTAGCCCATCCGCCCCAGCAGAAGCTCGGGCACCACCTGAATCTCTGTGGGAATCAGCTTCCAAAGATCGGACCATTCATTGCCCCCATGTTTCTAGGTCCGCGGTGCACAGCTGACATCGATGAGTGTCTCTCCAAGCCCTGCTTGAACCATGGTCTCTGCCATAACACCCAGGGCAGCTACATGTGCGAGTGTCCTCCAGGCTTCAGTGGTATGGACTGTGAGGAGGACATCGATGACTGCCTCGCCAGTGAGTATGCCAGCCAACTCCTTCGCCCCACTCCCCCCGGGACAGAGAAGCACGCAGGGAACACAGAATAGCACAGTGGAGGCAACTGCCTCTCTGCGCTAAGACTGGCCACCCCGATCGTTTATCATGTCTTTAATATTAGTATTTTTTAAATCTTCTTTTGGAAGCGAGGAGCTTTAGGAGCTCAGGCAGCGGAATCTCTTCTAAGCATTTCCTTAGTGGTTTACGTTGACGAAGTAGGACAGCGCTATGATGGCTCTTTTTTCTAAGCAGGTCTGTTGAGGTACAATTAACATTTAATACACTGTCACTCTGTTACATGACATGGCAACTGAAACTATCACTCAACATAATGAACATACCCATCCTCCTAAAAGTGTCCTCATCTCTTGTAATTTATTCCTTCTTTCCACTTCCCTGTTCCAGGCAGTCAGAGATCTACCTTTGTTACAGATTTGTTTGCATTTTTCACAGTTTTATATAAATGGAGTCATATAACACAAAGTCTTGTTTAGGATAAGGGAATGTGACTTATCTTACTCAGTGTATTATTTGAGGCTCCTCCATGTCGTGTGTGTTAGTAGTTCATTCGTTTTTACTGCTGAGTAGCTTTCCATTGTTTGGATGTGCGACAGCTCACTAGTAGGACATGTGGCTTTTTTACAGTTTGTGGATATTACAGATTAAGCTGCTATGAGTGAGCCTATATGGACATGTGATTTTATTTCTCTTGAATAAATATCTAGATGACAGGTGAATACATGAATTATGTAGTAGGTATATGTTTAACGTTTTACAAAATTGCCAAAATATTTCCAAGGTGGTTGTACCATTTTCTTTCTTATAAGCATTGTATGAGACTGCCGGTTAAATCACAACCTCAGGAACACGCGATATGATTACTCATTTTCATTTTAGTCATTCTAGTGGGTGCATGTAGTATTTCAACCTTCATTTTCCTATTTGTGAATGATGTTGAGTCTCTTTCATGTGCTCATTAGCTGTATAGCATACTTAGTGAGGTGTCATTCAAATCCTATGCCTATTTGTCTTATTGTTGAGTGAGAAGAGTTCTTTGTACCCTAGATCAATATTCTGTCATAAATTTGCATTACAACTATTTTCTGCCAATTTTTAGCTTCTGTTTGATTTTTTTTGAAGAGAAAGGATTTAATTTTGATAAAATTCAATATATCTATAATTTTCTTTCATAGTTCATGTTTCTTATTCCTTGTTTAATAAATCTTTAACCCAAGGTCACTGAGATTTTATCTTCTTTGATTTCTTCTGAAAGTTTTAGTACATGATCTATCTTGAGTTAATTTTAACATATAGTGTGAGTTTTAAAGGGTGTGTGTGTGTGTGTGTGTGTGTGTGTGTATTCTTACTCGAGGATATTTTTCCATTGATTTTTAGATAAAGTGGAAGGGAGGGAGGCAGAGAGAGAGAGAGACATCGATTGGTTGCCTCCTACATGACCCCAGTGGGGGCTAGGGACTGCACCTGCAACCCAGGTACATGCCATTGGTCCAGAATCAAACCAGACCCTTGGATCTACAGGCTGACACTGCAGGCTGAGCCAAACTGGCCAGGGCTAGTTTTGAAGGTTTTAAAGACTTTTTTTTCTGTTCTTGCTAATAAACTCCTTACTATTAATCCTAGATTAATTTAGCTTCTAGTTTAATTTAGATTAGGATTTTTTATAGAGATAATCATGTTATCTCTAAATAAATAACTACTATACCTTCTATTTTTTTGAAATCTGTATGCATTTATTTTTTCTTTCCTTATTGTAATTTAGTATGTCCTAGGTACAGTTGATGGAGAGTTTTTCTTTTTTCCTTTATTGACTTTTAGAGAGGGAGAAAGGGAGAGGGAGGGAGAGAGAGAAACATTGATGAAAGAGAACATTGATTGGCTGCCTCCTGCATGCCCCCCACCCCACTGGGGATTTGGCCCACACCTGGGCATGTACTCTGACTGGGAATCAAACCCGTGGCCTTTTAGTGCATGGGTTTACACTCAACCACTGAGCCACACCAGTCGGGCAGTTGATGGAGAAATTTAAGGGATTGGGATCAAACTCTTTGGATTTCTTTCCCACACTGATTAGTATATGAATCAAATTTTTCAGTATTTAAATTTTTTTTCCTATTTGAAGTAGGACTGGTAATGTCTATAATTAGTTTTAAATAATTTAATAAATTATAGTGGGTTTCCTAGTAACTTTGTGCTGTAAATAAGAAGGGATAATATGCCCTGGCCAGTTTGGCTCAGCGGTTGAGCATCGGCCTGCAGACCAGAGAGTCCCGGGTTCGGTTTCCGCTAGGGGCACATACTACCAAAAAAAAAAAAAAAAAAAGAAGGGGCAATATGATTTTTACAATTGCTCTAGTAAAGATTACAGATGAGCCTTTAGTTTTCTTTTTATATTTATAACCTGTCTTTGCAATTATATTTTAAGGTCCTTAAGGGTAGGGGCTACATCTTATTTTTCTTGTTCTGATTTGAATGACACTTAAATTGCAGAGGATAGCCCCATGATGGTGGCTCAAATGTTGTTGATTAACTGCTATGAGTGTAAGGCGTTCTAGGATTGAGCTATGTGATATTTAAAATAAAAATTGAAAAAACACCTTTGCTTCCTAATTCTGACAAAACCTAAAAATTAAAAACAAAATAGAAAGGAAAGATGAATGGCAGGAAGGGAGGTGTTTTAGGTGTACAACATCATAATAATTCGACCGGTTTGGCTCAGCGGTTATAGTATCGGCCTGCAGTCCAGAGAGGCCCGGGTTCGGTTCCCGCTAAGGGCACGTACCTCGGTTGCAGTTTGTCCCCAGCCCTGGTTGAGTCGTGCAGGTGGCAGCCACTCAATGTGTCCCTTTCACGTCGATGTTTTTCTCTCTCTCTCTTCCTCTCTCTCCCTCCCACTCTATCTGAACAAAGACTGGAAAAATGTCCTCGGGTGAGGATAAAAAGAGTTGGAATGGTTGCTGCTCTTAGTGTGACTCAGTTCAGGTCACTCACCTTTATGAGTCTAAGATGAAATTGCTGCTGCTGTTCAGAGCCCTAATTCTTTTGTGTAATGTCTTAGATCCTTGCCAGAACGGAGGTTCCTGTGTGGATGGAGTGAATACTTTCTCCTGCCTGTGCCTTCCGGGCTTCACTGGGGACAAGTGTCAGACGGACATAAACGAGTGTCTGAGCGAGCCCTGTAAGAATGGAGGGACTTGCTCCGACTATGTCAGCAGTTACACTTGCAGGTGCCAGGCGGGGTTCGAAGGAGTCCACTGTGAGAACAACATCAACGAGTGCACTGAGAGGTGAGCCCCACGCCCTCGGGCCCCGGTGTCTTATGGGAAAGAGAGAGCACAATACTGGGTTGTGGGGCAGGGGTAAGGCATCCACTTGGGTCCCAGTCCACTATCATCTCCTAGTGCCCGGTCCTGATTCCTTGTAGATGTGTAGTTAGCAGGTCAAAGGTCAGGGGTTGACAAGCTTAGTGGGATGGATCCTTATTTATTTCTAGATTAGGGAACAGAAAAAGCTGTAATTCTGAACAAAAGAAAAATTCTCCGCTTTGTCTTTTGTTCCTATTAGTTGATAATTTAAACATTCCTATTTCTTTTCAGAGTTGTCATCACTGTTTAAGTAATTTCTGGGAGGTGTGTTTTTCTTCATTATTATCAGCAAATTTGTTCTATTTCTCTTTCATAAAGAGAGCCATAGTCAAGAGCTGTCTGTCTAGCACTTTTCTTATAAATTAAATTGACTTAAGGGGAAAGTGAAATATGATGTAGAAGAACTTTCGAAACCTTCACTTTCTCTGCAAATCTCTCATCAACTCAGCCTTTTAAATACTCCTCTCAGCTTCTTGGTTGTGGATCGGAAACCGGGACTCAAGGCCAACTGGCAACCAGTCTGGTTCAGAAAAAGGTCAAATTTACTGGAAGTAGGTGTTTGGGATGCTCAGGAGTATTTGCCTTGGTAACATCTTAGATTCCAGGAACCTTGCTTTTTAAATAGCAGGTCAGAGGACCAGGTTACGTAGCTGATGGTGCTCTCCTGTTGGCTCCTTAGCTCCTGTTTCAACGGTGGCACGTGTGTCGATGGGATTAACTCCTTCTCCTGCTTGTGCCCTGTGGGCTTCACTGGCCCGTTCTGCCTCCACGAGATCAATGAATGCAACTCTCATCCTTGCCTGAATGAAGGAACGTGTGTTGACGGCCTGGGTACCTACCGCTGCACCTGCCCCTTGGGCTACACTGGGAAGAACTGTCAGGTAATTAAATATGAGCCCACGCAGCTTCCTCAGAGAAGCAAAGAACTATACCTATTTCTTGTCTAGGCAGAACAGTCCCTCCTAAAAGAGAAAATTCTGGTCTCAGGAATGTCCCTGAGATAAATCAGGTTGACTTCTTAATAGCTAGTAAATTCTAAAATAGTGACGCTGGCAAGATTGTGCGGATTAACAAATATAAGATTGTTTACAGTGAGAACTGCAGGAAAATATATGTGGGAAATAAGCACATAGTATTTACATTGAAAATATAAAAAGGGAAAAAAGAACAATAAAAAAGTTAAAATTTTAAAGGTCAGATGTACTATCTAAGGGGATAATAGGTATCATATCTTACATTGTTGTAACATCCTGAAACCAAGCTATTCGCATATCTTTTAACTTCAAAATATATAAGTATACCATTTTATAGACTCTTAGGATGGAAAGACCCCTCAGAACCAATTAGTCCAGCCTTTCATTTCATGGAAGGAGAAACCAAGTCCCAGAGGGACAGACTTAATTCTTCCAAGGTTACATACCAAACATTGTGTTTAATTTTATGCTATTTTACCTCTTAAAACAATGGTAAAATGATAGAATTAGGGATAAATGGCCAACTTTAACTAGCTTTACAGGTCCACTTCGGTAAGGCTTTGTCTATATTGGACATGCAAATATACCATCTCTGCACATTAAACAGCTTGCTGCCAATTCTGAGGATCTGGAGGACATTCTTCACTGGATTCTGTTCTCGTGGTGTGGGATAGTAAATGCTGGTGGACCCCTCTGCCCTTCCCCCACCGCCCCCGTTTTGCACAGTCTATTGTGAACTTGCCTTGTCTCCCAGAGGCCAAGCCCCGTATGGGTGCTGTGGGCAGAGGTGCAAGTCCGCTGGCACTCTGCCTCATGTTTGTCAGAAGCCTGATTTTCTCCCCTCAAAACAAGCTGTTTGACAATTTTTAGCTTTATTAACATGCTTTAAGTCCTTTTACTCATGTTCACCACAGACCCACGTGGATTTCTTGCATAGGCTTAGCAGAGGGAGTTTTCACGTCTGACAGCTTTGACTCTTGCTTTCTAGCCCAACAGGGTGGCCATAGATCTAGATATAATCATGATATAGGGAATAACAACCTATTGGGCTGCCTCAAATTCTTAAATTTCTCTGGTAAGAACTTTTTAAATAGCAGAGCTGAGAAGAATTGAACTATATAAAATGATTAGATTACTTGGGAATACTGGATCTGGTTTAAGGCTTGGGGCCTGGAGAGTATTATGCTGAGTGAAATAACCCAGTCAGAGAAAGACAAGTATCCCATGATCTCACTTAGTTGTGAAATCTAATGAACAAAATAAGCTAACAAATAAAAAAGATCCAGAGACATGGAAGTGGTGAACAGACTGACAGCCCTCAGAGGGAAGGGGAGAGGAGGGCAAGAAGAGATAAAGCAAAGAGTTGACATGCATATGTGCATGACCAGTGGACACAGACAACACTGTGGTGAAAGCAGGGGGCGGGGGAGGGTGTCGGTGGGAGAAGAAAGGAGGAACCTCTGTAATATTCAACAATAAAGATAAATGTAATAGATAGCAGAGCTAAGAGGGATTGGACTATATAAAATGATTAGATTATTTGGGAACATTGGATCTAGTTTAAGGCTTGGGTGAGGGCTTTAAAAAAATTAATGTGCTTTTCCTTGATGTATTGAAATGCTGTGTAACTTATGTTCTCCGTTGCTGGGATGTGGATGTTGATGTGTGTATGCCTCTGTTTCAGACTCTGGTGAACCTCTGTAGTCGGTCTCCATGTAAAAACAAAGGCACTTGTGTTCAGGAAAAAGCAGAGTCCTGGTGCCTGTGTCCGTCTGGATGGACTGGTGCCTACTGTGACGTCCCCAACGTCTCCTGTGAGGTGGCAGCCGCCCAAAGAGGTAAGCTCTGCCCCCTCGAGTCCAGGGGGCATTCCTCGGAGGTACTGACTGGCCGGCAGCATTTTAGGGCAGGTATTGTCACTGTGGGATGAGAGGGAAGGGCAGACAGTACTGGGTGGGCAAGGCTCTGGCAAAAGGCTCTGAGACGCAGGATGAAATGGGCAGAGAAACAGGTTTAGAGATTCCAAAGAGAAATGTATTTTTACACCTCTTCTTTATCCATTCATCTATCAGTGGGCATCAATTGTTTCCATATCTTGGGTGTTGTGAATAATTCTGTCATGAACATAGTGGTGCACATATCTTTTCAAATTAGTGTTTTCATTTTCTTTGGATAAATAACCAGAAGTGGAATTGCTGGGTCATGTGGGAGTTCTATTTTTAATTTTTTGAGGAACCTCCATACTGTTTCCCATAGTGGCTGTCACAGTTTACAGTCCCACCATCAGTGCACAAGGGTTCCCTTTTCTCCACGTTCTCACCAACACTTGTCATTTGTTGACTTTTTGGTAATAGTCATTCTGACAGGTGTGAGGTGATATCTCATTGTGGTTTTAATTTGCATTTTCCTGATGATTAGTGATGTTGAACATCTTTTCGTATGTCTGTTGGCCATCTCTCTGTCTTCTTTGAAGAAATGTTTATTCAGGTCTTTTGCTCATTTTAAAAATGGAAAAACATTTTTTAATGTTGAGTTATATGAATTCTTTATATATTTTGAATATCAATCTCTTATCAGATATAAGATTTGTAAATATTTTCTCCCACTTACTAAGTTGTCTTTTCATTCTGTTAATGGTTTTGTGGGTTTTTGTTGTTGTTAATCCTTCACCAAAGGATATTTTTTTCATTGATTTTTTTAGAGAGTGGAAGAGAGGGGTTAGAAGAGAGAGAGAGAGAGAGAGAGAGAAACATCAATATGAGAGAGATATATCAATTAGTTGCTTCCCCCCCCATAGGTTGGGGATTGAACCTGTAAGCCGGGTATGTGCCCTTGACCGGTGGGTGGGCCGATGCTCTAACCACTGATGCTCTAACCATGTTAATGGTCTTTTGCTCTGTAAAAGCTTTTGAGTTTGATACAGTCCTATGTGTTTATTTTTGCTTTTGTTACCCTTATCTGAGGGGACATATAAAAAAATATATTGTTGCCCTGGCCGGTTTGGCTCAGCGGTTAGAGCATCGGCCTGCGGTCCAGAGAGACCCGGGTTCGGTTCCCGCTAAGGGCACGTACCTCGGTTGCAGTTTGTCCCCGGCCCTGGTTGGTCGTGCGGTGGCAGCCACTTGATGTGTCCCTTTCACATCGATGTTTCTCTCTCTCTGTCTCTTCCTCTCTCTCCCTCCCACTCTATCTATACAAAAAATGGAAAAATGTCCTCGGGTGAGGATAAAAAAAAATATATATATATATTGTTAAGACCGATGTCATTGAGTTTACTGCCTATGTTTTTTTCTAGGAGTTCTATGGTATCAAGGTTTACATTTAAGTCTTAATCCATTTTGAGTGTATTTTTGTATATGGTATAAGAAAGTGGTAGAGTTTTATTTTTCCATATATCTATTCAGTTTTTCCTACACCATTGATTGAAGAAACTGTCCTTTTCTCATTGTATATTCCATCATAGATGAATAGATAAAGAAGATGTGGGGGGGTGTGTTTGTGTGTGTGTGTGTGTGTGTGTATATATATATATATATATATATATATATATATATATATATATATGGGACTATTACTCAACCATAAAAAAGAGTGAAATCTTGCCATTTGTGATAGCATAGATATCTAGAGGGTATTATACTAAGTGAAGTAAGTCAGAGAAAAGGAAATATCATATGGTTTCACTTATATGTGTAATCTAAAACAAACAAACAAAACAGACTTATACATACAGAGAACAAACTGATGGTTGCCAGGCGGGAGGTGGTGGGGGATGGTTAAAACACGTGAAGGGAATCAACAGGTACAAACTTCCAGTTATAAAACGTGCCATGGGGATGTGGTGTACAGCATAGGAAATATAGTCAATGGTATTATCATAATTTTATATGGTTACTACAAATGTAGATGGTTACTACACTAGTCATAGTGATCACTTCATAAGATGTATAAATGTCGAATTATTATGATGTTGTACACCTACAACTAATGTAATCTGTTGTACACCAACTACACTTTAATAAAAATAAGAACTGTATTTTAAATGATGAAGGCATAGAGTATTCTACATTCAGGGCTTGTTTATTTCTAATACATGTCTGGTGTTGAGAGTCCTGAATTAGAGAAAAATAAAATTTGATGTGTCAACTAGCTTGATTAGTTTGCTCATTCGTTGATCTGCACCTGACGTGTCCTGTGTCTTCTGTGATGTCTCTTCCTCCACTGGGTTTCTCAGGGTTGTCTGTTGACAGCTTGTGCCAGCACTCAGGTGTCTGTATCGATGCGGGCAACTCGCATCACTGCCAGTGCCCCTTGGGCTACACCGGGAGCTACTGTGAGGAGCAGCTTGACGAGTGCTCGTCCAATCCCTGCCAGCACGGAGCCACCTGCAGGGACTTCATTGGTGGATACAGATGCGAGGTGCGTACCATAAGCAGGCACACATCAGAGACCTCCCAGAAGCTGGTGCATCTACTGTGAACATTAGCATGTTGAATTTAGCTGCTCTGTCTTATTTTACAAATTTATACTTTTTTTATCGATCACCATTACAGTGTTGACTGGTCCCTGTGTCTCAGTCCCCTGTGCCATAAGTTAACATAGCTCCAGTGAGATACTTTCATAGAGGTCTGGAGCCTCACTTCCACGGGGTTGCCTCTGCTCATTTTAAAAATCAGAGCCCAGTGTTCACTACCAGAGTGCGTTTCACAGGTCCACCCCGCCTAGTGGCCCCTGGCATTTCCCTGAATGGCAGGTGAGATAGGAGAAGTTACTTTGAGGAGTGTCCCTTTGACCCGTGCCATCTTTGTGTACAGTCATTGATCAGTCAACTAATAATTCTTTCCAAAAAATGTTGCTCAGCCTGTTCTGTGTAGCGGTATACTGAGTATTGCATGTGTCTATTCGAGTAAGTATGTGTCATCTTAACATCTGAGAAGATAATGGTTTCGGCAAGATGTTAACAAAATACCAGAGGCGTGAATTTGATACTGATTCAGGCCACCAAGCAACAGAGTGAGAGGAGCTTTGCTCTGCTTCCTTTCATAAATCCGCCAAAGATGGCCCCTGTGTTTGCCTCTAGGCATTTATTTCTTCATAGCAGGCTTGGACCCTGGGACCTGTTCGCTCAAAAGCCTCCAGTGCTGAACTCGAAATTTTAAACATAACTGTAATAAGCAGATTTTGAGCCATTGTGAGCCTTCCTGCTTTGTATATTCTGCAAAGCAGCACCCAGTACCTGCTGGCCATAGCTAAGATAAGCCCCAGAACATAGAGACCCCAAGCCACTGCTGCCCTTCCGAGCGCTCCGGCCCGGAGACTCAGGCCTGGCTGCCGAGGGACATCACCAAGCACGGAAGCCGTTCTCAGTCACCCCTTCCCTTGGAGCTCACTGCACTCCTCTCTTTATTCCCGCATTTGGATGATCTCATGCCATGAGGGACTTCCCCACATTGACACCTGTCACAGCATTGCCCAAATAAAGCCACCTCATGGTCAATATCTTTTTTTCTTGATCGGCCCTGTAATCCCTCAAGCACCAAGACCTACCACGGCTTGCTAGCCTACCTCCCCTCATCTCATCCCTATCTTAACCAGTTTCTCACACATGCATGTGGTTTCCTAAACCTAGAGGTTCAGGAGGTGAATAAATGCAGTATCCGTACTACCATCCACACACGATTTGACCGAGTCAGCATCCTCATCGTATACAAAGGGGTGCATGTGTTAAAGATGGGACAGCCTGCACACGGGGACAGAGTTTTGCATATGGGGTCATACCTGCAATATCCCTCAGTACTCAGTCCTCACCATCCCCTTACAGTAGCTGATTCAGCTGGAGAGGTGAGTGCTGGTCAGCCGCAGCCAGCCCTGCACAGGGTGACTGCTGGGAGTGCGATGCTGCCAGAGAAGCATACAGGGGCCGGGCGGAGCCTGGGGCCGAGGGTCGCAGTGACGGTCCAGATCTCACTTGCTCTCGCAGTCTGTTTCCAGCAGTGGTCCAATGTTTCTTGTCTCTGTTTGCCTGGCAGTGTGTCCCAGGGTACCAGGGTGTCAACTGCGAGTATGAAGTGGATGAGTGCCAGAATCAGCCGTGCCAGCACGGAGGCACCTGCGTCGACCTGGTGGACCACTTCAAGTGCTCCTGCCCGCCGGGCACTCGGGGTATGAAATCAGCCTGCCTTTTCCCCGCTCGGGGCATTCTCTAAGTTATAAGTCCAATTTTAGTGTTGAGGGTTTTTAAAAAAAAAAAAAAATCACACATTTAGTTCTGAATCCTGATAGTTCAGCCATTTCATTCTCTCATCCCTTGCCTGGCTCTGAAGTTCTGTCTCGTGTTCTTAGTACTGTCTGGGTCTTATTGATGTCTTACGTTCCAGGACACACAGAATGTGGAAATCATATGATGTTGCACCAAAACTAGCCTGGTTGGCAAGATTTCTGGGAACTTCAAGGGAAAACAACCAGTAGCCTCTTAAATAAATAATTCACATTTACCAGCTTATTTATTTTTTAAAACTTGCCAAATCTTGCCTCCCTAAGGTGGGAAAATGAATGGATGAAAACATTGGCCTAACTTCATAAGCCCAGGGAAGGAGTCTGATAATGGCCTAAGAGTTGCAGTGAGTCCCACAGAGACACAACCTAGACTTGGCAGGGTGGAGCCGTCATCCTGCTGTGGCCTCTGCCTTGGAGAGGAGCTTGGAGTCTTGTTTGTTAGAAGAGATGAGGTTATATTGGTACCTGCTCTGAGCAGCCTGGGGGTTGGGGGGAGGAAGGTTGTGGGGTAGTAAGAGGCTATTCTCTACAGTGGGAAATTCATTCTCAGTGTTAAAGAGAATGTCAGGGAAGTATATATACTATCTTAGACCTTTGTGTCAGTGAGTCTGGATAATTTACCTTCCTTGTTCAGAGTTTGGCTAAATTAAAATAGAAGCGTACCCTGCTAGTAGGCTAGTTATTGAGCAGTGAGGTTAAAGGGGAAGAGAAAATGAAGGAGAAGCAAGCCTTTATTTATTTATTTTAAATCCTCACTCAAGGATATTTTCCCATTCATCTTCAGATAGAGTGGGAGGAAGAGGGGGAGAAAAACATTGATGTGAGAGAGAGACATCAACTGGTTGCCTCCCATAAAACCCTGACCAGGGCCAGGGACCAAACTGTGACCGAGCTACGTGCCCTTGACCGGAATCGAACCCGTGACTCTTTGGTCTGCGGGCCGATGCTCTAACTACTGAACCAAACCAGCCAGGGCAGAGAAGCAAGCCTTTAAACATTTAAAGATTTGTCCTGTGAAATGGAGAGTTGTTTTCTGCACTAAAAATCATTAATTGAAAGAAAAATAGGAGCCAACTTTGATTCATTATTAGTTTGTTTCTTTGAATACTTCCACTGTTTAGGACCAGCTAGGATTCTTGTGGCAGCAAATTAATCCCCAACTTTCAGTAGCTTAACACAACTATGTGTTTTTTTTTTCTTTTTCCTTTTTGGTCATGCAAACTCCTGAGCATGTTGGGCTGCCTCTCTCTATATTCTAGAGGTGTGGTTTGAAATACTCGGCCTTCAAGGCCTCCACAGGAGAGGCAGACGGACAGACCTGTAGGGTGATGTAGCAGCTTTCACCCATCACCCTTGCTCACAGTATATTGGCCAGAATTAGTAAAATGGTCTCAACCTGACTCCAAGGGCAACTGGGAAATGTGGGAGAGCACATGGACGTTCACTGGACAGTAACCTTTGCTAGCCCGTGAACTTTTACTAATTAGAGGTAGTTTTAGGATAGACCATTTCTTAAGGCAGCAAACGTTCTCTGTTCTAACACATCTGTTAAGAATGACTTAAACAATGGTTTTGCTATTATTATTGACAATCTTTTTCTCTTGGCATTTTGAGCATGTCATCCCCTGCTTTTTGACCTCCATGCTTTTTAATGCTAAATCAGCTGTTAAACTTATTGAGGCTCCCTTGTGATAGTTACCTCTCTCCTGGCACTTTCAAGATTCTCTTTGTCTTTGTCTTTGAAAGTTTGGTATTGTATGTAGGTGTGGGCCTCTTGAGTTTATCACATTTAGAATCTGTTGAGTAGTATATACTACATATATTTGGTTAGGTGTGTGGAGTTGTGTTTATTTCTTCTGGCTTGATTAGTAAAGATTATAGGAGACCCCCAAGACCCATGACCACATCGTGAAACAACCACAATGGTTGTTTTTGTTCCCACACTCCTGAGCCTTGGCTCTTGGCCCGGGGGCACCTCCAGTTCCAGTTACTGCAACAGTCTGTCTGTCCCTACCACTTGGCTTCGGGCTGAGGCTGAACTCCCGTTTCCTTGTTAGATCTGTCCATTACTGCTGGTTCCATTCTGAGGGAAGATGAGCATCTGTGTTCATTTCACCAGCAGTCCCTAAGTGCAAACACTCTGAGAGAGGGAGCACATACTGGTTTTATTTTTACTTTCTTGTTTGTGATTTAGTTTGTCAATAGGCACTATATACACATGGTCCAAAATGGTATACATACACACACATAGAAGAAGCATTCAGTGAAAAACTCCTCCCTGTCCCCCTACCTCATCCCTAGTTCTCCCTCTGCCACAAATAGGTAACTGCCACTTTTTAAAAGTTTCTGGTGTATCTTTCCGGAGTTGTTTTTTAAGGTACCTTCAGAATATCTGTATGCATATAGAAGCCAAATACAAAGAAAATTTTTCCTTATTTCTTACTCTGAAGATAGAATATTAGACACTTTTATAGTGAAATGCTGGTATCTTTTTTATTTTATTAAAAAATTTCAATGTTGACATTATTTGCAGGTGCCCCCCTTTGCCCACCTCACCCACCCGCGCGTCCTCTTCCCTTGGCCTTCACGAAACTCTTGTCTGTGCCCATGGGGTATGGATATATATGTTCTTTAGCTAATCCCTTCACCTCTTTATTCAGTCACTCCCACCACCCTCCCCTTGGGCACCGGCCAGTCTGTTCCATGTATCCATGCTTCTGGTTCCATTTTGTTCATCAGTTTATTTTGTTTGTTAGATTCCATGTATTAGTGAGATCATATGGTATTTGTCTTTCTCTGACTGGCCTATTTCACTTAGCATAATACTTTGCAGGTCCATCCGTGTCGTCTCAAAGGGTAAGAGATCCTTCATTTTTACAGCCACATAGTGTTCCATTGTGTCAATGTATCTCAGATTTCTTATCCGCTCATCTGCTGATGGGCACTGAGCTATTTCCAGATCTTGGCTATTGTTAATAGTGCTGCTATGAACATAGGGGTGCATCTATCCTTTCTAGTTCTTAAGATATATTCCTGGAAGTGGGATCGCTGGGTCAAAAGGCAGTTCCATTTTAAATATTTTGAGGAAATTCAACACTGTTTTCCACGGTGGCTGCACCAGTCTGAAGTCCTACCAACGGTGCACAAGGCACACACTCTTTTGCACTTGATTTTTTAAAACTTAATTGGAGATGTTTCAATATAAAAATATGGAACTCCTTTAATCGTTTTTATCCTGCAGAATTCCCTTTTATGGGCATGCCATATTTTACTTAACCAGTGCCCTAGTGGTAGAAATTTGGGTTGTCTCACATGTATGTAAAATAAATTTTTGGAAATGGAATTGCTGGACTAGGGAACATACACATTTGTAATTTGGGTTGATGTTGCTGAATTACAGTGTCTGAGCATACTTCTCAGTGTGGATGAGTGTATTCTCATTTAAGAGTCATTTGGTTTCCTTTTTCTGTGGTTTCTCCATTCATATCTGTAATGCTTTTTTTTCCCATTCCATTGTTGATCTTAATATTTTACTGAGGTTAGCTGTCTATGATACAAAATGTAAAAATATATTTCCCATATATTGTTTTTTATCTTTTTTTTTTTTTTTTTTTTTTGGTGTGGTGATTTTTTTTTTTTTTTTCATGTAGAGCTTTTTATTTTAATCAGGTTGAAGTTATCAATCTTTTTTTAGCTTCTGGATTTTGAATCCTAGTCAGCAACACCTTCCACACACTAAGATTATAGAGGACTTCTCCCATACTTTCTTCAAGTACTAGAACACTGGGGCGCTTTCCTTATGGACGCTGATTTTCCCAACACAGTACACTGGACATTTGAACTTTATACAATGATTTGAGAACTTTACCAAGTTCTAAATTCCCCTGTATATTTCGGAGTTTTCCTCTGCTTTCCTTTGTTGTTCTGTTGTTTATTAATTTATCAGTACACTCTAGTGGTTTTAATTATTGTGGATTTTCTTTTCCAAAGTTTTCTAGGCTATGTTTATAGTTTATTTTTCCATATAACTTTAGAGTCAGATTGTCTGTTAAAAATCCTATTGTTATTTTTTATTGGGGTCACATTAAATTTATGAGTGTACAGAAAAACAGACATCTTTAATGATGAGGAGTCTTCATCTATTCCTCTCCTTTTGTGTCTTTCATGACTATTTTGTTTTTTTATTATTATTTTGTTTGTTTTTATTGATTGTTTAGAGAGAGGAAGGGAGAGAGAGATAGAAACATCGATGTAAGAGAGAAACATCAGTTGGCTGCCTCCTGCACACGCCCTACTGGGAAATCAAGCTCACAACCCCAGGCCTGTGCCCTGACCGGGAATCGAACTAGGACCTCTCAGTTCATAGGATAATGCTCAATACACTGAGCCACACCAGCTGGGCCTTTCCCGACTATTTTAAAGTTTTCATATAGGTGTAGTACATTTCTTGTTAAGATTATTCCTAGATATTTTACCATTTGCTATTGCTATTGAAAATGAGGTCTTCTCTTACATTTTTCTTTTTCTTTTTAGTAGTACATCTTACATCCGTGTATGCTATAAATTCAAGTGATAGGAATACAGAACTGCTTTTCTTTCTTTCATAACTTTTTTAGTTGACCATGGGACCATTTCTAGAATAGTCATTGCTTTCTTTTGTTTTGTTCTCGAAAGTATTTACAGATATTTATACTGTATGGCTCATTTGCATTTATAGTACATTACAGTCGGCCCTCGTTTATCGCGGCTAATCGGGTCCAGACTCTACTGCAATAAATGAATTTCCGTGAAGTAGGGTTCTTTATTTATATGCAGTCGCCCCTCGCCACTTCGTGCTTCGACTTTCGCGGCTTCTCTCTATCGCGGTGTTTTCCATTATAGTATAGTATAGATTTGAGAAACCACGATAGAGTTGAAAAAGCCACGAAAGTGCGAAGTGGCGAGGGATGACTGTGAATGAGTTCTGTGTTAAGTAAAATAACCTTTGAGCTCTCAACAGGATATTTTCCCTCTATTAATATAAGAGACTAGTACATTTACACTATTTTGCAGAAAAATTGTGAATGAGTATTAAACTTTAAAAAGATCATTCAAAATTTAGTTTTAATTCTTACCAATATTTTTACATACTTGAAGTCTGTGTAGTTTATTGTTATGTTCTCTTTTGAACTATTTTGTATTTTGAATCATGATGAATAAATTAACAAAAAATTTTAAGTCTCTCTTGAGCTCCAGTTTCCTGGTGCTCCAGGTGAGACAAATAATGCTAGTTACTCCGTGGAGACGGCGTCGCTGAGTGGGAGAGGGATGTGCAGCCCTAAGCATATTTTCCTTTGCTGCAACTGGCCCTCAGGAGGATGGTGGCCGTCATGAATCGCGAGTGTGCTTTGCCCTCCTGCGCACCCTGAAAGGTCCCACCACAGATCGAGGAGAGGAACCCGAGTAATTTTGAAAGTGGCAGCAAGTGAGGCCCTCCCTTGCTGGAAAGCAGTGTTCCAAGATTTGGTCTAATTCTCGCTCTCTCCTCTTCCCTCCAGGCCTGCTTTGTGAGGAGAACATCGATGACTGTGCCAGGGGACCCCACTGCCTTAATGGTGGTCAGTGTGTGGACAAGATCGGGGGCTACAGTTGCCGCTGCCTGCCTGGCTTTGCCGGAGAGCGGTGCGAGGGGGACATCAACGAGTGCCTGTCCAACCCCTGCAGCTCCGAGGGCAGCCTGGACTGCGTGCAGCTCACCAACGACTACCTGTGCGTCTGCCGCAGCGCCTTCACCGGTGAGCACGTCCCCGGGCCCGGCCCCTCTGCTCGGCGGGTTCTTCTGCAGGGCGCTGGGCCTGTGGGACACCTCCCAGACCCAAGGGAGGTTTTCCTTATACAGGAAGAACTAGAGCTCGTTCAGGGCCCAGATTTTTTCCTAGGTCTGTGCTCCATAGGTGGTATAATCAATTTTTGCCTTTTGTTTTTCTCTTTTGCTTTACATTGATTTTAAATACATGTATGTATGCATGTTTATGTATGTGTGTATATATACACACACACACACACACACATATATATATACACACATGTATAGTATACATTTATGTAGCAAAAATATAAAGAATAGAATGTTGGGAGTAGTTGAGCAAAATAACTTTTTTTTTTTTATCCTCACCCGAGGACATTTTTCCATTTTTTGTACAGATAGAGTGGGAGGGAGAGAGAGAGAGAGAGAGAGAGAAACATCGACGTGAAAGGGACACATCGAGTGGCTGCCACCCGCACGACCAACCAGGGCCGGGGACAAACTGCAACCGAGGTACGTGCCCTTAGCAGGAACCGAACCCGGGTCTCTCCGGACCGCAGGCCAACGCTCTAACCACTGAGCCAAACCGGCCAGGGCAACATTTTTTAATTGTGGAAGAGCACATGTAACAAAGTTTACCATTTGTAAGTGTACAGTTCAGAGATACATTCACATTGTCCTGCTGCCATCACCAGCTTCCGTCCACAGAGCTCTGTTCATCGGAGCAAAGCAACATTTTGTTTTCAGGAGCCTCACTTTAACTCTGGTGTGGTCACTCTGCCTCCGTTTGGCGTGTAACGGCCCTAGTTACTGAGAAGTCGCTGCTCACCTCTGGGACCCGGAGAACGCAGGGTCTTCCAGGATGTGTAGGGGAGTGGGTCCAGATGGGGAGGGCTTGGCCCCAGTCCGTTGATGGGGTGTGCCCGGGAAAGCTGTGGCGGTCACAGGGCGGCCTGTGGTCCTAAGACTTTTCTCAAGCTTTTTTTCCCCAATCACAGAGCATAAATATGACCAAGTCCTGCCTCAGAATAGGGGCTCTGTCGTAGGCACTTACTAGTTACTTCTGGGAAAGGGCAGTTTGGTGACTTTTGGAGACTAAAATTGTCACCTGTGTCGAAATGTGGCAGTATCATCAGATACTCAATTTAGAAATCTGTCTTGAATTTCTGGGGCCATGTCAAATCTTATACACACTGTAGTTGTATTCCCTGGGACTCAGGTAAAAAGCTGCAGTGTTCTCCTTACCTAATACTTTGGTAAGTTGGACTCTGCCACACTCTGGGCCCGTCTCTAGACTTCTTTCCGATTTTAAAGCTACGTCGCCTTTAAGAACTCTGGAACTGGATAGGGGATGGGAAGGATTTTGCAGTATGAAAGATGCCTGGGTGCAGTATCAAAAGAGAGACAACGTTGTGAACGTCATACTTACTGAGGTAGCGCTGGGTGGAAAGAGGGTGCACAGTCGTCCAGCCTCAGGTCAGCCACCGTGTCCGTGGAGACCAGGGAGCGCTGCCTCCGTTCCTGTGTTGCTGCTGAGGCTTCCTTTATCCGCAACAGTGACGGGAGTGGGGACCACTTCCAGTCGGGGTTCCCGGCCAGTGGTGGTGTTCGTGCATCTTCCACACTCTGAATTGAGCTCACTGATTGTAATACCTGCGGGGTGCTGAGCCCCGTGTCCCTGCAGAGGCTCTTGGTCCGTGACTGCTGCTGTGAGTTGAAGAGACAAACATCTGTAATCCTGACTCTTGGTTCTGGTCAAGAATTATTACTGTTTGAATTTCCTTTTTAAAGCCGCCTCTTCCCTTCTAAGTCACTGCAGGGCAAACGGCACCTGTGTCCGCTGTTTGCCAAGCGGCCCCAGCTGTGTGTCCATGTCTCCCCCACGATTTCACTCGCTTGGCTCACTTTATCTTGGAGCACTGGGAACATGAACTCTGAGAAAGCTGAGCTGTGTTTTAAAGCTGTGCCAGTCAGGTTACAGTGAGGCCAAAAATGATCCAAAAGAGTTGTTATGGATGAAAATTCTATACACACATTGCAAATCGCCATTTATATGTGTTGGCCTGAGGTAGCCTCTCCTATGAAGTAGACGATATTAACAAAATGCAGTGAACCATTTTGCTAAATGTTTCTTTTGACCATGAAAGCTAAGTGCCTTCATAAAGAAGCTGTCATTTTGCTTTTTTTTTTTTTGGTGATTATTTCAGAGTAATTTTCATATCCATCTTGTTTCATGAGCCCGTTGGGAATGTATGCCATTGTGCGTGCAGTGTAGACAAGACGGGTGAGGAGCTGGCCTGAGCCAGGGTGGGTCAGTCACAGTGAGATCCGGTGAGTGTTTTCTTCATGCCGCAGGCTCAGAGCTGACTTCTCCCACCTCTTGCTCGTCTGACCCTTTGGCCAGCTCACGTCCTCACAGTGTTCTGCTCAGTCACTCACAATTACTCCTTCTGCCTTTTAAAGCTCCTTTTTATTCTCTGCTTTGAGGTCGTCACTGTGAAACTTTCGTCGATGTGTGTCCCCAGATGCCTTGCTTGAATGGAGGGACATGTGCTGTGGCCAGCAACATGCCTGATGGTTTCATCTGTCGCTGTCCCCCGGTAAGTGCCGTGTCGCCTACTTAAAGAGCATGCTCTCTTCAAGGAGTCTGACAAAGCCCAGCTTAAGCCTGGTTTAAAACTGTGGGGAGCTTTCTTAATGTTAGCTCCCTCAGAAGAAAGTGCTTGGGTTTTCCATTTGGAGCTGTTAAGAACCTGAAACGGGCCTGGCCGGTTTGGCTCAAGGGTTAGAGTATCGACCCGTGGACCAAAGAGTTGCAGGTTGGATTCCCGGTCAGGGCACTTACCTGGGTTACAGGTGCTGTCCCTGGTCCCTGTCAGGGCCCTGCGGGAGGCAACCAATCATCGTGTTTCTCTGACATTGATATTTCTCTCTCTCCCTCTCCTTTCTACTTTCTCTAAAAATCAATGGAAAAAGTATATCCTCAGGTGGGGATTAAAAAAAAAAAGACTGAAACAGTGAGTTTCCTAATCTGTGACTGTCAGTCTTCTGAAGCACCAAGGGAAAACCGCAAGAAGTGGTAGCATGTGCCCTGGAAAGGACTGAGGACTATGGTCTCTGCGTCCTGGGCCTGCACGGGGGTCGCCGTGCTGCCCAGCTTGGGGCCAAGTTGCTTGGAAATGCTACTCTGCTTCCATTCCTTAGCAGGGGCCCTGGAGCAGGCTGCTGCTTAAACTGGAAGGAGGCCTACTGCTTGCCATTTGTGGTGCAGACTCTTGCCACTGCCAGAGGCAGAAACCTCCCTCAGACTGTGAGGGAGACACCAGAGGGAAGCCTGGGCTGCGCAGGAAGTCGAGGGATGAGCTGACGGGGGTTTCATGTCCCTGGCACTCAGTGCGATGCCCGCACCCACATAACGTTGTTACCTTGGAGACGAAGCGGTGGTTAGGGAAGGTGCTGTGGACACAGGTCACCTGCGTCTTATCCCACCATGACCTGTGCGCTGATTTGGGCGTGATCTCTTCCATTGGTAGAATCCACCTCACCCCGTGGAACCTTTAGCCCTGACCTACAGGTTGACTTGAAGAGGTCTCTTCTTGGAACGTAGTCCAGGAGGCTGCATGGAGGGACCTTAGCCCCGTGTCTCGCCTTTACCTCCCAGAGCTGTGGCAGAGGGGCTCGGAGGGAAAATGGGGCCTGCCCTCCAGAATCGACCCACCCTCCTCATTTGCTCCCTGATTTCCACAGGGATTCTCTGGGGCGAGATGCCAGAGCAGCTGTGGACAGGTGAAATGCAGGCGCGGGGAGCAGTGTGTGCACACGACCTCAGGACCCCGCTGCTTCTGCCCCAACCCCCAGGACTGCGAATTAGGCTGTGCCAGCAGCCCCTGCCAGCACGGGGGGAGCTGCTCCCCGCAGCGCCAGCCTCCGTACTACTCCTGCCAGTGCCCGCCGCCATTCTGGGGCAGCCGCTGCGAGCTCCTCCCGGTCCCCACCAGCACCCCTCCTGCCACCTGTCTCAGCCAGTACTGTGCCGACAAAGCCCGCGATGGCGTCTGCGACGAGGCCTGCAACAGCCACGCCTGCCAGTGGGATGGGGGCGACTGTTCCCTCACCATGGAGAACCCCTGGGCCAACTGCTCCTCCCCGCTCCCCTGCTGGGATTACATCAACGGCCAGTGTGATGAGCTGTGCAACACAGCCGAGTGCCTGTTCGACAACTTCGAATGCCAGGGGAACAGCAAGACGTGCAAGTAAGGGTCCAGGGCCCCTCGGCGCTGAGGGGGACTGTCACTAACACCTCGGTTTCTCGTTCTTGCTGCTAACCGCTCCAGTGCTTCAGCCCGAGCTGCCTCTGCTTTGAGACTGGTGCCCCGAGGCGTCAGCCTTGCCCCATCCACGCTGCCCTGGCTCTCCCTTGCTGACAGAGTCCAGGAATGCTCATTGCACAGCCACCTCTCTCTGCCTATTTTTGCCTTCTCACCTGCTGCTCTCGTGACCTCCTGGGGAAGTAACTTTTGGAAGGTGTTCCCCACTCTCAGGCAGCCTCTCACATGACCTGCCTGCAGGACGGATGGAAAGGTCTGTACCTCGGTCTGCTCGCCCCGCTCCTTTCCCTGCGACTGGGTCTCCCCCGCTGGAGTTTTCAGGACGCTTAAGCTAGATTAGGCCATCTGACCTTCCTGTCTCCACTCCGCAGTCACGGGGTGCTCCGTGCTTAGGTTTGCCTGTTCGCCGTCTCATTTCATTTGACTGGTGAATTCTCAGCAACCTTGTGAGGCGAGGTGTTGTTACCGCCTTGCACTGGCGAGAGGACTGAGGCCTGGGAGGTTGCAGGGCCCCCAGAGCACGCACGGTGCTTCCTCAGTCCGTGTGCCAAACGGCGTCACTGCCCCAGGGTGGGGTCGGGTGGGGGGTGTCGATGAAATGGTTTGTGCAGCAGTTAGGTCTGGGGACTCGGTTTCTTCTTCCTAGTATTGGAAAGAGTTGGATGTGGCGTTCTGTGTGGGCCACCTCCTGCGCACCTTCCACAGTTCAGATTCAGTCTTGATTGGGAAGGAAATAGGCCATGTCGACGTGGTCTGTGTATAGCAACTATTGATGGCTCAGAGCTGTGTGTCCAGGTTCTATGTCCAAAAACCCGTGGTTCCCTCCCAGGGGCAGTGGATACGAAGATAGAGGCAGCAGGGACCGGGTTGACGTTCATTTTAGTATGCAGCTTTGTTTAAACATCTAACTTAAAAAGGTGATGCGCTGCCAGGGGGGCCGTAAGCCCAGAGCCTGTGTGGCACAGTGTGTCTCGTCCAGGGGCACTCACTGGTTGGTGTGGCACAGACTACACGCTAAGACGGCCAGGACGGGAAAGCCAAGGAAGGCGTCCCGGGCCTGGCGGGCCTTATCTGGGCCACGGATGACGGGTAGGAAAAAGCTACGGTAGTTCCCAGTAGAAAACCAAACAGAGTTCCAGTGTCATCTGAGCCCTTTCCTTGCTCTGCGCCCCCTGCCCAGGTATGACAAGTACTGTGCAGACCACTTCCGAGACGACCACTGTGACCAGGGGTGCAACAGTGAGGAGTGCGGCTGGGACGGGCTGGACTGTGCTGGTGACCGGCCCGAGAACCTGGCAGAGGGGACCCTGGTCATTGTGGTGCTGATGCCGCCCGAGCAGCTGCTGCAGGACGCTCGCAGCTTCCTGCGGGCCCTAGGCACCCTGCTGCACACCAACCTGCGCATCAAGCAGGACTCCCGGGGGAACCTCATGGTCTACCCCTATTATGGTGAGAAGTCCGCCACCATGAAGAAGCAGAGGATGGCACGCAGATCCCTTCCTGAGGACCAGGAACAGGAGGTGGCTGGGTAGGTTTTTGGTTTCTGAACTCCTTAAAGCTTAATTTTATAAAGCTGAGTGCTTCGATACACAGAAGTCGTAACTGAATCTATAAAAGGCAAAGCTGAGACACGTAGAACAGCCCACCAAGTGAAACACATGCGTGATCCCAGTATTTATGTTCAAGGGTAAAGGTTTGCCTTGACCTTGGGAACCAGCAGGAGGCAGGACGTCGGGAAGGCCTCCCCGAGAGCTAGGCTCAGGCGAGGCACCAGGTGCCTCAAGTCCCTTCCGGAGGACTTCTCTCGTATTAACCGCTGCTTCTCAGCTATGTGCTGCCTAGGTCAGAAGGCCTGGGTTCAGCCAAGCCAAGGGAGGTGAGACATTTCTAAGTAGGAATTCTAAGGGAAAAATATTTTAATTTCTGAGAGCTTTGTGGAGGAGGCAGCATCACAGAGGGCAGAGACCGATGCTGAAGGTGATGAGGAAGACCTGTGCAACCCTTCCGTACTCCACATCGTGTCCCTTTTTCCTCTTTTCCCCCGGCACCCACAGCTCTAAGGTGTTTCTGGAAATTGACAACCGCCAGTGCATTCAGGATTCAGACCAGTGCTTCAAGAGCACGGATGCAGCAGCAGCTCTTCTGGCCTCTCACGCCATCCAGGGCACCCTGTCGTACCCTCTCGTCTCTGTCGTCAGTGAGTAGCCCTGCTGTTGGGGGAGGGTCGCCTGGGGGCAGAGGAAAGGGCACACTTTCAACGTGCAGCTGTGTTTCAGGGCCAGTGAGCTCCGAGCCTCCCTCCACGTCAAGGTGGAGCTGATTCCCAGGGGCTGGTGTCCTGTTCATACCTCGCTGTCGCTTGCACTTCCAGGTGAATCCCCGGACCCCAAGCGCACCCAGCTGCTCTATCTGCTCGCCATCGCCGTGGTCATCATCCTGTTCATCATCCTGCTGGGGGTTATCATGGCGAAACGAAAGCGAAAGCACGGCGCGCTCTGGCTGCCCGAAGGGTTCACCCTCCGCCGAGACTCGAGCAACCACAAGCGCCGTGACCCAGTGGGACAGGACGCCGTGGGGCTGAAGTAAGACAGTTTGCCGGAAGCCACTACTCACCGCAGCAGTCGTCAGGGCTCGGTTGGAAAACCAGACCGTTTCCGTCTCAGTTCTGAGCCCTGGCATGCCCCAGTGTCCCCCAGGAGCACGGCCAGCCGTGCCCGTTCTGTGCGTAGGATCACTGGCACTCAGTGTGCATGCTGAGGCACACTTCTGTCGTAAGCTCCTGATCAGAGGGAAGGAAAGGATGTTTCCTCTGGTAATGGGATGTAAGATGCTGCCCACCCTTTCCGGGCCACAGCCCCGAGAGGTCTGAGTATAGCAGTGAGTGTGTCACGGTGGGGAAAGTATGGAAATCCTCCGCACTAGCTGATGATACCTCTGCTCTTGTGTTTCCCTTCATAATCCTGGCGAATCAGAAACCTCTCCATGCAAGTCTCAGAGGCTAACCTCATAGATTCTGGAACGAGTGAACATTGGGTCGATGATGAAGGGCCCCAGCCGAAGAAAGCCAAGGTAAGTGGGCCGTCAGCAGCCATTATCTGGTCACATTTCAGTGTCTGTCCTTGGTACGTTCGTACAGTGTCCCAAACAGGAGCGATAGTCTTTACATGTTGCCCAGGCAACAGCTATCCCAGGTTGTCGTGAAAGGCAGGGATCTCCAGGCCTTTGATGGCCTTGGGTCACCCGCGTATGTTTTCAATAAGAACTCTAAAAATAGTAAAAGAACGTGCTTTCTTCCTGAAGTGCCACAGATAGTCGTCAGGTAAGGACTGAGGTGCGTCATTTCCTGCGTGGCTACATCGCTGCCTTATTCTGTCCGGGCATCTCCCCTTCTGGAAGGGGGGGTGGAATGAACAGTGGGAGAAAGCCAGCGACCACTCACTTTAGAGGCTCCTCATCTTGAGCCCAGGAAACTAAAACCATTTAGATGTAAGAGGTAAACTGGGTTGAAGTGAAGGAGGAGGCTCTCCGTCCGCAGCTGTGTGTACCGGGGTGTGTGCACCTCCCATGGCTGTTCCGAATCAGCCGCGGAGTGAGCCCCGAGTATCGCCGGCGTGCTATGGGCATGATGGCGAAGGGCATGGCTTTATTACCGGCGGAACTGGATTCAAGTCCGAAACTCTGCTGCTTGGTTTGGCAAGTTATATCACCTCCTTGTACTTCATTACCCTTATTTGTAAAGGAAGGATATTAATAATTCTTTTCTCTGTGAGTTATTGTGAAGATTAAATACAGCAATATGCGTCAAGTGCCTTGCCTGATTTCTGTCACATACTAGATAGTCAGTAAGGGTAGCTGCTTTTCAAAGTATAAGAATAATAATTACTGCTCAACAAATATTTCCTGAGCACTTGCTCTGTGCAGGGCGCTGTGTTCATACCGGGAGGCGGCCTTGAAAAGGGCTCGTTCCCTGTTCTCAGGAGCCTCCCAGTCCAGTGGCAGAGACTGCTGGGCAATCCCCAGGGAGCACCCAACACATGGTCGTTAGGGAGAGCTGACACAGGACAGGTGGGCAGGAGCCACATCAGGGAGCCGTGGAGGCTGACGCGGACACATCTGGAGGATTAGGGTCGGAGCTGGGAGAAAGCTGGGTGGGAGGCTCTGACTAGCTCCAGGTCCAGTTCCTGGGGGTGAGCCAGGTTGACAGTGAGCGAGGCTGTCCCCTTTCAGGCTGAAGATGAGGCTTTACTCTCGGAAGAAGATGACCCCGTCGATAGACGCCCATGGACCCAGCAGCACCTCGAAGCCGCAGACATTCGCAGGACACCATCGCTGGCTCTCACGCCCCCACAGGCAGAGCAGGAGGTGGATGTGCTGGACGTGAATGTCCGGGGCCCAGGTCAGCACCCCCCACCTCCCCCTTCACGAGGCCCTGCCCGCCCTTGGCTCTCTGTTATCATTCCCGTGTTTGCCCTGCTTGGTGCTACGCCCCAGCCAATTTCACAGACAGATCCGCCGGAGGAAGCGCGTGCTTAAGGAATACGGGCGCGCAGAAACGCAGGCACACACCTGAGAGGAAAGGGGAGGTCACACTGCGACACTACAGCGTGCTCGAGCACGACAGGCTGGTCCTGTGGGGACATCTATCCCAAAGCAGAGGGACAGAGGATTACTTTAACTGATGCCTTAATGCCTATAATTCTGTTGTACTGAGTATTTTTAAATGTTGTCCATTTCAAAACCATAGCACTTAGAAACATGAACAGAAAGCTGTTTAACTTAGAGAAGTTAAAGCGTGTTTAACCCCCTTATTTCTGTCTCATTACTGCTATAAAAGGGACATTATCAGAGGACGAGTAGGTGGCCAGTTACCACAAGAATCTCAGGGTCTTTTTTCCCAATTGAAAAACCTTACTCAGATTGAGCTATCCCGACAGTGCGGTTAATTGAATACAAGTGTCTTTCTCCTCCTTGAGTACTCTGGGATTTCCCTTGCCTGTAGATGGGTGCACCCCGCTGATGCTGGCTTCCCTCCGAGGAGGCAGCTCAGACATGAGCGACGAAGATGAAGATGCAGAGGACTCTTCCGCCAACATCATCACAGACTTGGTCTACCAGGGCGCCAGCCTCCAGGCCCAGACAGACCGGACCGGTGAGATGGCCCTGCACCTCGCAGCGCGCTACTCGCGGGCCGATGCTGCCAAGCGCCTCCTGGACGCAGGTGCAGACGCCAATGCCCAGGACAACATGGGCCGCTGCCCTCTCCATGCTGCCGTGGCGGCTGACGCCCAAGGTGTTTTCCAGGTGAAGAGCTGATCTGTCCCGAATTCTCCGCCTTAAGGCATTTAACACCCCATTCATTCACTCAGTGACTCTCCGAGAATAAAGCTGATGGCAGAGTCATGCTTGCTAGGTGGGAAGCAGAAAAGGGGAGGCAGGCAACTAGACCTGATTATCTGCAGCCAGCATCAGGTAACACCAGTCTTCTGATTCTGAATCACAGTGGTTTTTGATGAACCAAATGCTTCCCAAATGCGTGAATCAGTGGGAGTGATATCCATTCCAAAGGCTTTGAGAGTGTCAGCTTCTGCCTGTAGGCTTATCCGATACGGGGTTCCACATACTCCTTTCTGGATTTCTTTACATGGATTCACGCTCTACTTCTTGATGCCCTTTATTGTACCCTTAGGAGGAAATCGGAAGCATTCTGTACACTGTAATTGAGGTGGTGATATTTTCCCAAATCCATCTTCTCTCTATACAAAGTAGAAGGACTTCACTTTACATAAATCATTATCTCTTGAACACATGTTTATTTATTCGTTCATTCATTCATTCATGGTTTCTTTCATTCACTCAGCAAACATTTGTTGATTGACCATGGTAGAAACTTGGGCACAAAAATAACAAGACATTTCTTGTGTGATGCTCCTTTCTTCTCTCAGCTTCATTATATTCTTTATCCATGGGACTCTCTTATTTGTACTTTCTTTTCTAGATTCTGATCCGCAACCGAGTAACTGATCTAGATGCCAGGATGAATGATGGTACCACCCCCCTGATCCTGGCTGCTCGCCTGGCTGTGGAGGGCATGGTGGCCGAACTGATCAACTGCCAAGCAGATGTGAACGCGGTGGATGACCATGGTAGGGATGGGGCGGGGGTTGGGAGTCTCACCTGCAAAGCATCCTCGAGGAGGAGAGTCGTTATATGATCCTCAAAGACCTGTCTCAGATCCAAATTCACTGTAGATCCATCCATTCATTCATTCATTCTTCCTTCTAACATACTGAGCTCAGAGAACTGAGCCGTTGGGAGGTGTGTAGATGAAGATGGGAAGGGATTGTTAGCGAGGGTTTAGGGGCCTCAAAGCAGGTCTTTGCAAGGTTTGCCTGTGTAAGTTGCCTAGCATGCCATTCTTGACGTGAGGGCATATGAGAGCTGAACTCACTGGGGAAGGGAGTACTGTTAGCTATCCTAAATATACATTCTGGCATGTAATATGTAAATAAGTTACTGTCTTCAGTGTGTGACAGGGTAGATTCTGCCATGTGGAGGACAGGGTACCACGGACTAATGATCCTTATACCTAGAGGTCTTCTGAAGGCTGAGCCTCGTGCACTGAAGTGTTTCTAGAACAGAGGGGAAGAAGATAATACTTAGACTTCTCCTTGTGGGCCCCCACAGAGAACTGACTTCCGCTGCTCTCTGGGAAGTTCCAGGTTTGCTACGTCCACTAGGAGTGGACGTGTCCTCCTCCTCTGTCTGCTTATACAGCATTTCTCCTTGCAGGAAAATCTGCTCTTCACTGGGCAGCTGCTGTCAATAATGTGGAGGCAACACTTCTGCTGTTGAAAAATGGGGCCAACCGAGACATGCAGGACAACAAGGTACAGTCTGGGCTCTGAGCTGGGGGCAGGCAGAGCAGTGCCCAAACGTGAGGCCCCCCCTTTCTCCCGTAGCTCCTCTTGTGGTGAGTATAGACAGGACGGAAGCAGGCTGGGCAGGAACTGGGTCCAGAGAGCTGGAGGAAGGGTAGGGGGCTTATCCCGGGAAGGGTGGGGTTCAGTCCTCTGCCCACTCAGTGCTCAGTCTGATCCAGGCCGTTCTGTAAATAACTTGGGGTAGCCTTCTCTGCGTTTCTCTTCCTTGACATTCCCCTCTCTGCGGTTCTGGTTCTGCTCCTGCTAACTTCCTTTTCACTGTTTCCATGCTGCTGTTTCTTCTCTTGGACACCAGGTATTTTCCTGTTTGCTTTTCTTCCTCCGACTGTTCTGTCTGCTTCCCCTCTCTGGCTCATCTTCTCTCTTCTCCTCTTTTAGTTCTTTTTTGTGTATGTTCTTTCTCTGCTTTCTTTTACATTCTCTCATTTTTCTCGACTCTGTACATGCTTTAGATTCTTCTCCTCTTACCTTTCTTATTTCTAACTCTTTCTCTTATTTTACTGAGCTCAGAGCTCTTTTAAGCGGCTCTCTGGCTCGGTGGCAAGCTTGATTTCACACATTCCCACCTGAGAAGACACTGCCGTGAACCGGCCCAGCTGGCTCTCTGGGTAGGGTGAAACAATGTTAGTCTTATGTCTAAAGTATAGCTATCCATTCAGCACATAGCTAGAGGTACAGTTTATCTGTGGTATTAAAATTTTACTCAGAGAGGCAGCTTGGAAAAAAAGTCTAAGGAGGGGTGATGATAAAAAGATTGAGAAACACTGCCATATTCTCAAGAGAGTTACTGAAATGTGCTCTTTGCGGCCCTTTTCTGTAGGAAGAGACACCACTGTTCCTTGCTGCCCGGGAGGGGAGCTATGAAGCTGCCAAGATCCTGTTAGACCACTTTGCCAATCGGGACATCACAGACCACATGGACCGCCTGCCCCGGGATGTGGCTCGCGAGCGCATGCACCACGACATCGTGCGCCTGCTGGACGAGTACAACGTGACCCCGAGCCCTCCCGGCACCGTGCTGACTTCCGCCCTCTCGCCCGTCCTCTGTGGGCCCAACAGGTCTTTCCTCAGCCTGAAACACACCCCCATGGGCAAGAAGCCCAGACGGCCCAATGCCAAGAATACCATGCCCACCAGCCTCCCTAACCTTGCCAAGGAGGCCAAGGATGCCAAGGGTAGTAGGAGGAAGAAGTCGCTGAGTGACAAGGGCCAGCTCTCTGAGAGCTCAGTGACTCTGTCCCCCGTGGATTCCCTAGAGTCTCCTCACACATACGTTTCTGACACCACATCCTCGCCAATGATTACATCCCCGGGCCTCCTACAGGCCTCACCCAACCCTATGTTGGCCGCTGCCCCTCCGCCTGCCCCGGTCCATGCACAGCATGCACTGTCTTTCTCTAACCTGCATGAGATCCAGCCCCTGGCTCACGGGGCTGGCACTGTGCTTCCCTCGGTGAGCCAGCTGCTGTCCCACCACCACAGGGCGCCCCCCGGCAGCGGCAGTGTGGGGAGCTTGAGTAGGCTGCACCCAGTCACTGTCCCGGCAGACTGGATGAGCCGCATGGAGATGAATGAGAGCCAGTACAACGAGATGTTCGGTATGGTCCTGGCACCAGCTGAGGGCACCCCTCCTGGCATAGCTCCTCAGAGCAGGCCGCCAGAAGGGAAGCATTTAACCACCCCCCGGGAGCCTTTGCCCCCCATTGTGACTTTCCAGCTAATCCCCAAAGGCAGCGTTGCCTCCCCAGCTGGGGTGCCCCAGCCTCAGTCCAGCTGCCCTCCAGTTGTTGCAGGCTCCCTGCCCACCATGTACCAGATTCCAGAAATGGCTCGTTTGCCCAATGTGGCTTTCCCCACGGCCATGATGCCCCAGCAGGATGGGCAGGTTGCTCAGACCATTCTCCCTACCTACCATCCTTTTCCAGCCTCCGTGGGCAAGTACCCCACCCCCCCCTCACAGCATAGTTATGCTTCCTCGAATGCTGCCGAGCGCACGCCCAGTCACAGTGGTCACCTGCAGGGGGAGCATCCCTACCTGACCCCATCCCCAGAGTCTCCTGACCAGTGGTCAAGTTCGTCACCCCACTCTGCTTCTGACTGGTCAGATGTGACCACCAGCCCCACTCCTGGGGGTGCAGGAGGAGGTCAGCGGGGACCTGGGACACACATGTCTGAGCCACCACGCAGCAACATGCAGGTTTACGCGTGAAAGAATCTGCCTCCGTAGTAGGCACAGAACTGCCTACTGTACATGCTGCTGAGGACAAATGAAGGCCATCTGGGAGGGCAATGAAGAAATCTCTGGAACCAGCTTCTGGAGGCAGAAGAGAGGAAATGTGCTTACCTTTCAGATAACGCAAGGGAAGCAGTTCCATCAACTTCGGTGGGTCTGTGCAGGGTTTGGGAGGGAGGACAAGCCTCCTTCTAACCTCTTGCCCATCAAGCCAAGTCTGTGGAGATGCAAGATGAATACAAGACTTGGGACCATGTTTACTCTCTTATTTGGAGAACAGGACCAATGCCTGGTGTAGCTCGGACTGCAGCTTGGACTGCATTTTACGCCATGGGGGCTGCTGCCATATCCAGGAGAAGATTCTGAGTCCAGTCCTACTGGGAATTGTGCCCTGGAATTCTAGCTCAATCAGTCTGTCTCATCTTCTCTGCCTTGGAAATGCTTCTGACTTTATTTGGTGCTTTAAGTTTGCACCTGTCTGGTTGTGGCCCCGCCAGAAGTCAGAGGGCCTGGCCTTCGTGCCTTTAATCATTCCTGCTCTGGAACGAGACTTTGCCTCCTTCCCCGCCTGTTTCCAGAGTCCCTGCAGGTCTCACAGGGTTTACTTCGGTTATGGTTCTCAGCATAAACTTTTCCAGTACGTTTCTTTAGAAAATGGACATACTGCATCCTCCTACACAATTGCGTTCCTAGAAGAGGAGCAAAATATTTTTCTTTGAACCCAATTTGGGGACAGGAGATCCCTTCAAGAGGCTGCACCTAGGTCTCTGGTCTGCATGCAGGGCTTTGTATAAACCTACGGGAGGAAGGATAAGAACCATGTTTCCATTTGTGGGCCTAGTCAGTGTGAACTTTTATCCTTGGCAGTATGCTTACTATGACTCCCTTTTAGAAAAACCAGACAAGGATTTGGAATGTTGGAAGGAGCAAGAAATAAAGTAACTGACACAGGAAGTAGTCCCCCCACTGACGCCCCCGCCCTTCCTGCTGGGCTGTGCTGGCCTCCGGTGTGAAACACGTTCCCAGGTCTTAGAGTCCTCGGGTGCTGCCCTCATTCACAGCAGATGAAGCTAGTCTGTGAGCTGAGCCTCTCCTCCCGCCAGTCCTCACAGAAGAAAGGGTCTCAGTCTTTCCTCACCTAGAATGGAACTTTCCTCTGATCAAGGGAGCCCGCGCTGTCTTCCCTTCACCCAGCGAGCAGTTTACTTCCCGATTCTCTCTGATCGCGGGCCCGTCGCCAGTCTTCCTTCCACGTGGTGTGGTCTGAGTTGCTGTGTACCCAGTAGGTTCTCACTGAACGCAGGGATTTTCAATGTGGAAAATGGAATGTTGACCTAGTTTTGTAGGGGCAGAGCCAGCCTATGAGAGGGCTGGAATGGGAGGAACTAGGAGGCAGCCTTTGCTGTTGTTGCTACCATTTCGCTTCCTTCGCAGCAGTCATGACATCTCCTTTTAGGTAAGACACTTACCAAGGACGTTTTTCCTTCCTGTAGCACCCATCTAGATGACGATGGAGAGTTACAGACTCAGTTTGGAATTGCATCTCATCGAAGTTTGCTCTTGGTATTTGTGGTCTTGGCAATTTCCTGGACCCTCTGTCAAGGGCAGAAGTGTTCTAGTTAACACTAGAAGTAGAAAGATAATAGTTTTCCCGCCGTCTCCCTGAGTCAGCAAATAACTGGTCCTATGGCCACACTGTCACATCTACCTGGTGCTATGATGTCATGACACCTGGATAATTTGTTCTAGAGCATTTGGTAGATATTAATAGAACTGCCTACTCTGTTTTGGTTTGAATAATCTTCATTCCTGCCTGGCTGACAGTGTTCAAATGTGCTTCCCACTTACTTGATTGACTGCCTGTGGCCCCATATACAAAGTCCTGTGTGTCTGTTAGCATGGCCATCTGCTGCAAATGATTTTCTTCAGTCCTGCCCAAGTTCATGAGCCAACAGAAGTCATTAGTTCTGCTCTAATATAAGCAGATTGCTTATTCATCCTGTATTTTATTTTCTCATGTGGCAACTCCATCAGCCCCTTTCACAGTATGTAACACTTTATCATTCTAAATTCGGATTCTATCCTTGGACCCATTTGTTAGCCCACAGATGGGAGAATCTGTGTGCCTGAGTCACCCCTCCACCCTGCCCTGCCTTCACCCTGTTCCAGCCCCACTCACCGACAGTATCGGCCTCCGATCCGGCAGCTGGAATCTGTCGTAACCTCCTCCCTCTCCAAGCACTGTGTAGATCCGACTTGCCTCTTCTCCTTGGAATCCCCTGGGTTTCAGGGAAGGGAGTGTGAGCTGCCATTGCAGACCACAGGCTTCAGCGATAAAGAGAAGGTACTTGCTTTCAAGCACTTGTCAACCGCTTGGATTTTAAGGACCCTTGAATTGCATCATATCTAATGAAAGAAAAGGTAAGATGGAGTCTCACTTTCCCATTTGGTTCTGAATGGCAGACTAACTTTTAAGAGGACACAGCTTTTATGTCATTTGTAGGTCAACCCCCTACTTTTGATTTATTTTTATAAATTCTTCCTTTGATTCTTCTGTCATCCTCTGGGCATATATTTTTTTGTTTATTTCTTCTGTTTTGTGTTAAGCATCATTCTCTGACTACATGATGGTGAGAGAGAGAGAGATTTGAGGACAGGAGAGACTCAGAGTTAAAGATTTTAATGTAATCAGTCAGCTGCGATGCTCAAGTCCAGTATACCATCTCACCATTAAATTTGCTCATTCGTAATTCTTGTACAGAAAAGAACCAAAGGTGAAATGTGTTGTTGGCAGGTGGTTTGGGGAATTTGGCCTTAACCAGTATATTGAATGCATGATAATTATTTGATGGGACGTGTTCTACTCCCCTCCCTCACTCTCTGGGACTCCGGCTCCTTCCCTGTGTACATTTCTCCTAAGAATGATATTATATCTGTTTGTATGAGAAGTCCAGTAACCGATAAAATGACTGCATATTCCTAACTATACATAGTAAGGAAAATGCACACTTTGTTTTTACTTTTCAAAGTTTCATTCTAAAAGTAGTTAAGATGAAATTTATATGAAAGCATTTTTATCACAAAATAAAAAGCTACATGTCAAGCTCAGTGGCGTGGCCGTTTTAATATTCCATCCCTGCGTGCCTGGTCCTGCAGAGGTTCCCTCGTGCCATTTGCTTCGAGAGAGATCCTTTTCATTCTGAGTCCCACAGGGCCTAGGTGCTGCCTTTCTTTCTCCAGGCAGATCCTAAATAAATGCTTTTGAAGAAGAAGCTTCTGGAAAATAGGAAACATCATAAGACTGGGTCACTTTTCTGAACACTGGCAACAGACACTTGCTCAGGACGAAGCGCCTTCCGGTGGAACTGGAGGGTGTGTAAAGGCAGAACTGCAACTTGGGATGGAACGCACGGTGGTGGTGGTGCTGGTCCACAAGCTTAATCAAATTAAATTTTATATGGAACTTAATATATGCAGTCACAATATAGTATTTTGCATATAAATATGCTACCAAGTTCATTCACTTACTTGTAAGTCAATCGAGTGAACACTTGAACACACATATTTGATGTTGGTGATCTCTGGGCGTTAGTAGTCTTCTATCAACTTCAGCATTGAGTTTATTTCCATATTGTATTTGCCAAAACTTCTGAATCACACACATAATTGTAAAGGGCAGCAGTATTTTTTTTAAATGACTGACTTAAAATCTTAGGATATGGCTCAGTGAAGCAGATGAAGAAGCCTTATTCACGTTCTGCAAAAAGGGTGTTTAACACAGCGGGCAGCACATACGGTTATCCTGGGAGCGTTAGTTTTACATAAAACACACTGGCGTCTTCATGTTGGGGTTTTATTTATTTTATTATTATTTTTTAAATTCTCACCCGAGGATATTTTTCTATTTATCTTCAAATAGAATGGGAGGGAGGGAGAGAGAGAGAAAAATCGATGTGAAAGAAACACATCATTTGCCTCCTGCACAACCCCAAACAGGCCTGGGGACGAACCGCAACCCAGGTACATGCCCTTGACTGCAATTGAACCTGAAACTCGTTGGGCCGACACTCTAAGCACTGAGCCACACCGGCCAGGGCCGTGTGGGTCTTGGGATGGCGTGGAAGAACAGTGAACTGGAGAGCTAAGGAGTGGCTCGCCCAGTCTGGTCTCTGCAGGCTGGCCCTCAGGGCTGGGGTTCCTCCTCAGACTTGCCCCACCGACGCCAGCTCCAGGAGTCTGGCCCACCCCCACGCCCTACCCTGCCACTGCCAGCCTGCAGTCCTCGCCCTCGACGGCGCGGGGCGAACGCGGGGCCTCCAGCCACGAGGTCCAAGGAGGAGAGCAGGCTGAACGTGGCTGTCGTGTCGCCGCCAGAACCATAGATTTGGACACCAGGCCCTGGTCATGCCATGCAGCTACCAAGGCTCACAGCCCAAGCGAGTTCCTGTCTCAGAAGGTGATGAGTAGATCAACGTCCTCGATGTCTCACTGTCCAGGGTGTGACAGGCTGGGGGGGGGGACTGAACACTGCTGCAGGCCAGCTCGGGTGCTCAGGGTATTCATCTCACCTGAGGGGCAGTATTTTAAAAATAAAATAGGAATCAAGTGCTTGCAAAAGCCCTGAAGAGAGGGTTTGTGTGTGTGTGTGTGTGTGAGAGAGAGAGGGGGAGTATTCAACTTTGCCTTCTTTTGACTTAGAGCTTAGAGGACACATTTAAAACGTGCATCAGTCTAAGTCCCACCTGAAAGCGTGGGCAAACTGAAATGAGGATAGTACAAGAGCGGGGATAGTACAAGAACGGACTGTTGACGGCAGGACTGTGATGAAGGGTGTGTGAGGTGTTCGGGAACCTCGGCGGGCGGCACAGGAAGCCGGCATCAGCAGAGCCATGACCGCTAGGTCCACAGGGATGAGCGTTGGGAGAGGTCACTGAACCTGGAGAGCAGGACACCTCAGGAGGAGCTGTGGCCTCTGTCAGGAACACAGTGAGCCCTGGGCCCTCACCACGAGGAAGCCAGGGAATACATACCCAGATCTCATTCCCCAGCCCACCTCCGCCCTGGACTTCCTGTTTGCCGAGTCCAAAAGAAAGTCTGAAAATACAGGAGCTGTTGGATTTGACCCGTTGATACAGTCAGCTTCCTGGGTGGAGAGCTTGGCGGGGAAAGGAAGAGAGTGGATCTGATGGTGCAGACATGTGATCTCAAACATTCTCCCTCCAACGGTGACATTTCTAAGAAACGTCCACTCACCGCCTGCCTTGATGGGCCAAGGTGGGGTGCAAAGGGAAAGGAATGAGGTAGTGATCTACTTACCTGTGTGTTTCTTCACCATTTTGGCTTTGACCACCCAAACTGAAGACAACCAAAAGCAGCAGGATGGATACATTATGGTCCCTTCATTCAATGGATTTTTACATGGAAATGGGGGGGGGGGGCAACAATATGAATTGTCATTGACATACATTGAACAAAGGAAGATAAACAAAGAATACGCTTTGTATGATTCCCTTATGTAAGTTCAGGAAAAACAAACCAGTGGTAAACAAATCTGAATAGTGGGTACTTTTGGGGGAGAGAGTTCTTGACTGAAAAGAGGGCACGAAAATCTTTCTGAAGTTGAAGAGATCTCGACCAGAATAGTGATTACATAAATGTATACATATATAAAATTTCCTTAAGATTTGTACATTTTACTAATGCAAGTTATTCTTCAAAAAAAATGTATCCACAATAGCTGACAAACATATAAACACCTAATATTATAAAATAATATAGTTATATATCTATAATTTGTTATAAGATGTTAATACTTTATCATTTGTTTCAGAGGTTTGAAGATGATATAATACTTAGAGCTAAGATTTCTATATTTCCCTCTCTAGTTCATCCCCCTCCTTTTTCCCCATTACTTTTCGTAAGTTCGGTTTATGGGGACTATTTAATTCTTAAAAATATTATTTGCAATAGTTTATTTATGAAGAAAATGTTTTCACATTCAGATGTATAACATGTGGGCCTGCATATTTGCGAGATTGATTCAGTGAGCGAGGCTGGCCGGTGGGCAGCTGGCCGGCCGGTGGGCAGCTGGGTAGTGTTCCTGGCGTCCAGCTGGATAATTTGAGTCCATCGGGGCCCTGGCTTGCATTTCAGCACTTGTCTGTGCAGCATACATATGTTTTGAATTGATTCTGCGTTCTGTCATCTGACTGGATTTGCAAGAATGTCACTGTGAATCATCTTTCATACGCTGATTTCAGACAGTTGAGGCCAAGCAAATACCAGGGTAGAGGCATTCACGTCCTGCCTCTCTGTGGTGGGATTGTCTCACGTCCCCGTCTCTCTCCGCCCTGATTCCTTTCCCTTGCCTCTGGAAATAGGTTGAAGAACGTGGCCTGGCAAATGGTGGACACCAACCATTAATCACGTGAGATAAGAATCCGTGTTACCGTGGCCTTTACAGGGTTTTACATGTAAACGTGGGGAAGGAGGGAGAGAAGCTGTCTGCATCCGAGGTGACTTCAACTGGACACCTGGCCAACCCGAGAAAACTCTGAGAAACGACCCCAGCCCAGTAGGAATTCAGTAAATAAATGGCATAATTAATTCATAGAAAAATCTTTGTTATAAACAAAAAACATTTGGGGGATTAATTGAAGAGAAGACCACAGGTACAACACACACACACACACACACACTCCCATATCCCACATACACACAGCAGTAACCTTTAAAGAAATCGACTTCCTGCAACTATTACCAAATACCCCCCACTCCTGAAAAGCGGAGTGCTGCTTTTTTGTCAATTACAGCTTTAGCTCTGCTCTCTTCTTGCCATCAGCTAGATAAAAATCCTAAATCTATCTCACCGTGCCCACAGCTTAGACACGCAGTTCTTTGAACCCATCTCAGTGTCCTTTAACACATGTCCAATTTCCATAATAAGCCCTCCTAACACTCACTTGCTGAGACACCCACATTTCCCCTGGGGTGCGATTTCCCCTGCAGCAGGGAAAATTGTTAGTCTCAAGGGTGCTCCTGCTGGCTTCCTACAGGCTGTGCTCAAGTCCAAGACAAAGGATCCCCACTCTAACAGCTTGTTACGGACAGAGCACCAACAGTAACAGTGAGACCGCATGGATTTACTCAAGAATATCTACAACATTCACAAAAATTCAGCCTGTAGGAAGTCATGACAGAATCTCAGTTTCAAAGAATCAGTATCACACAGTTCTCTCAACAGCACCATCGAATTAGAAACAAAAAGGTAACCGACACTATATATAAAAATTCTAAAAACTCACAAGTCAGTTATTAATACAAATATGTTAGAAGATATTTAGAAATGGCACTAAAACACTTATTAAATAGTACCACTATTTTTGAAATGCTAATTATTAAAACTTAAGGAAAGCAACTAAAGTTGTAAGTGGAGAAACTCTGGCCTAAATACTTAGATCACAGCACAAAGGCTAAGTCAGTAACCTAAGCATTTTATTCCAGGAATAAGACTAAGAACCACAGACTAAATCAAAAGAAATGGAAGCCAGGAAATAATCAAGAAAAGCAGAAATTAATGAACTAATAGAAAAAAAAAGTAGTAGAGACAAAAGCTAGTTCTTTGAAAAACATAAAATAGAATACTCTTTTTTTGTTGTTATTTTTAGAGAGGAAGGGAGAGGGAGAGAGAGCTAGAAACATTGATGAGAGAGAACATTGACTGGCCGCCTCCTGCACACCCCACACTGGGGTTTTGGCCCACAACCTGGGCATTTGCCCTGACCAGTAATCGAATCAATGACCTCTTGGTGCATGGGCTGATGCTTAACCACTGAGCCACACCAGCCAGGCTGAAATAGAATACTCTTGCAAAAATCAACAATAAGAGAGAAAAAATGGCGGCGGAGTGAATGGAAGCTACACAGACCATCTCCCAGGACCAAACTGGAATTACAACGAAAATAAAGACAAATTGTCAGGAAGGGGCAACCGAAAGGCAGTTTGGAGGACCACATAACCAGGGACACTGGTAGGCTTGCGAGGACACAAGAGGGGTCTGAGAGCCCACAGTCCACAGCGGCCTGGGCTGGGACCAGCGACCTCAGCTGGAAGCTGTGCCCTCGGCTGGGTCCTATGGCCTCGGCTGGGACCTGCGGCTGCCTCTGCTGGGTCCTGCGACCTCGGCTGGGTGCTACACCCTCGGCTGGGAGCTGCAGCAGCCTCGGCCGCCCTTAGCTGGGAGCAGCGCCCTCGGGTAAAAGTCCCAGGTGGCTCCACGACGCAGAGCCCGGACAAAGGCTAAATTGGCAGCAGCCACTCAACTTGGGCTCCAGCAGAGGGAGAGCAGACTGGACTGGAACTGTGTGCAAACACTGGGGATTTGGAGGGTGCTCAGAGCTTTTGCTGAGTTGCAGCCACGCAGGACTGTGGTCATCTTACTCCTTCCCAGGGCCCTGGGGAGAGGTGGAGGCCCC